AACGTCAGTAACAAACAAAATAAAAAGTATTAATACATGTGGTATTTTTAAATTTTTGTTGATTTATGGGGGTCGACAATAGTAGGTGGTTCGAAATTTGGTGAAGTTGTAGCTACATTTTAAGAGGGCGGGGTGGGAAGGGGGTAATGTGTGACAAAGCATTCAGTGTTTCTTCCAGACTTTTTTCTCCGGGGGGGGGGGGGCACTTGAAATTTTCGGGGGGGGGGGCGGTAGACTTTCTTCGGGGGGCGGACACTGTTAAAAGTATATATTTTCTATATAAATTATATAAATTTCATTTCGTTCGGGGGGGGCGATAAAAAAATTTCGGGGGGGGGGGGAGGGAGGGGCTTCGGACGCCCCCCCCCCCCCGAAGAGATGCCTGGAAGAAACTCTGAAAGCATTGATTATGTATTTTTATATATTTTAAGTATTTCGTAAATACACAAATTATTTATACAAACAAAAAAAATGATAAATCTCGTAAGCGTTATTGTTTTGCAGAAGGGGGTGAACTTTAGTTACGTTATTTCATAAGTTGGGGGAGGGGGGGGGGTCGTGATCATAGGCTGAACGAGGGGAGACAATTTACCAGTTTAATCTGGCGTTGCAGAACAATTCAGATGGCGGTTGAATGGTAATAGAAGTTGAATATTAGAGGATCTTTTTTATTTTTAGTAGTGTCGTTACTGACTTGGTTTCAGATCTAGATCTAGGACTCAAATATTAAGACCAATACAGGGCAGAGGCGTAGCGAAGGGGGGGGGGGGGGCAGGGGGGGTACATATGTCGCCGGGCGCCGACCTTAGGGGGCGCCAAAATGGGTTGGAAAAACAAATTAAAATCTCACATATATATATATATATATATATATATATATATATATATATATATATATATATATATATATATATATATATATATATATATATATATATATATATATATATAATATGAGGGCGGGTGCAAATAGAAAGTTTGAGGGGGGGTGCAAATCGAAAATTGAAAGGTTGATCCCGAGGGGGGCGCCAAATTGAAAGTTTGTCCCCGGGCGCCGGGAAGGGTCGCTACGCCTCTGATACAGGGACCTTGAATTAAAAATTCGCCGAGTGATGACGAAATTCACCGAATAATGAAATTCAGCGATTGATAGCGAAATTCGCCGAGTGATGACGAAACTCGCCGGGTGTTGAAGAGCGAAGATATTCAACAACCGAGTAACGACACACACCCTCACAAGTATGATTGAAATTAAAAATTCACAGGACGCTGACGAAATTCACCAAGAGTTGATGAAATTCACAAGGTAATTCAATCGACAGCTGGCGAACCACTTGAGCCGTTAATTCAACTGGCTTGATTTTTCTGATAATCCAATTATTTATTTTAATACAATACTTGGCGGAAAGGAAACAGATTTGGGTATTGACGTCAAACCACTCATTGGGGGGGGGGGGGGGGGGGAAGGGGGGGAGAGGAAGTGGGGATTCGAAACATACCGGCTGTTTCCTATACAAAAGTTGAGGGATATCTAGCTAGAGATTACAGCAACAAGCGTATGCAGAGGTCTGGCCGGGTCTGATACAAGGGGAACACACGCCAGTGTTAAAACGTCCAATGGTTGGTAGACGAAAGGACGACATTATAGTAGTGTTTCTTTCAAGCAATTTATCCTCCCCCCTGTAGCACGTCAAATACCTACCCCCACCCCACGAAGACATAGAAAATATATTAATTTAAATAGCAAATATATATTCTATATACCCCCCTTTGAAGTTTCAAGTGCCCCCCTGCCCCCAGGGAAAAAAGTCTGAAAGAAACTCTGGACATCAGCGGTAGACGTCTGGCAATAGAAAGGGCCATCCGTGGTATGGAAGAAAAGGGCCATCCATGATAAGGAAGAAAAGGGCCATCCATGATAAGGAAGAAAAGGGCCATCCATGATAAGGAAGATACATACAACCTGTATAAAAAAATCTGACTCACAGAATAGACTTATTATCGAGTGAAAACAGAAAGAATATGTATTTAAATGGCTATTCAAAAAACAGAAAAATGTGCTATTGTTGTCCATTTTGGAAAACACTTTAAAAATTGTATACCGCCCCTCCCTCGTTAAAACAGCTTTTTAAAAAATATTACGCATATATTTGTGGTTTTCATAATGTTCTTACTAGGCCAACCTGCTTTGCAAATATTTTACTTTGTATCTGTGCTACAAAACTATTTCTATTGTTGTTTTACCAACCTTGCAGGAACCTCCACTCCACTCTGTTCTAAAAATAGCCGTACTGTAAGTACCTTATAGGTGAAAGCCCTATTCTCGCCGTCAACAAAAGTAGAAAAATCTGGCTCCACACATTTCTCCCCTTGTGTTTGGTTCATATTTATTCTACACGATTTAACCTCCCTAGCTGCGGGTTTACATAGGGACCCGACTTGCCTTCTTTGACTACGTTGATAAAAAAAATATATCTTTGCTTTGAAACTATTCTTAACCGTTGTACTTGGTTAAGGTCCGATATTGATCACATTCAGTGGAGGCTACGGGGCGAGAGTCAAATTCTCCGCGCGATTATTTTGCTATTGATCATAATTCACTCGCGGCAATGTCGCCACGTAAATAAACGTTCCTGTCCTAGTGTGGACAAAATGTCGCGGTGTGGACAAGGACGGTGAAGGACTAGGTAGGGGCGTCACCATGAGTGGTACCAAAATACCCCCCCCCCCCCCTCCACTGCACCTTCTAAAAAAATAAATTTAAATCCCTTACACTTTAACGTCAGCAACAAACAAAATAAAAAGGATTAATACCTGTGGTAATTTTACAATGTTTGTTGATTCATGGGGGTCGACAATAGTAGGTGGTTCGAAATTTGGTGAAATTGTAGCTACATTTTAAGAGGGTGGGTTGGGAAGGGGGTAATGTGTGACAAAGCATAGATTATGTATTTGAAGCATATATTAAGTATTTCATAAATACACCAAGTATTTAAAAAAATGATAAATCTCGTTAGCGTTAATGTATTTGAAGCATATATTAAGTATTTCGTAAATACACACATTATTTTTTTATAAGTGATAAATCTCGTTAGCGTTATTGTTTTGCAGGAGGGGATGAACTTTTGTTACGTTATTTTATAAGTGTGGAGGGGGGAGGGGGGGAGTTTTATTAATAATATTTTTTTTTTTTTTTTTTTTTTTAGACCGCGTGATGTTATGAGAAAGACAAAAAAATCGGCTTAACGTGGCATCACCCTTGGACATCATCTCGTCTGCTAATATAAAAACAACACCAGCCGATCGTGTGTGAAGCAATATAATCCCTGATTGGTCAAAGCAGCAGCCGATAGCTGTAGGTGTGCGACAGTTGGCTTGCAGAATCCAGGTGTGTCCACACTTATGCAACAGCTAGCACGTATGATGTAATAATATTATAGCGGCCTGAATTCGTAGTGATCAACTCGTTTATGGTAAATGTAAACAGACAAACAGCATGTTGACAAACCTTGACATTGCACACTGTATTTGGACACGTAGGCATTCACTATACACATTGGCAAACAAGAGATACATACATAGAACTACTTTGAACATGATTACACTTTACTTTAGGTTAGATGTTCTGCTTAAATGTCATGTTTGTGTAGAATTTTTTAGTTTAAATATAATGCTTATGTGAGGGGGTTTTTTTATTTGAAAAAGTTTACAGTGAAAACAGTTTTATTTAGTTAGAGCTGTGTATTACGACACACTGTTTTGATCAAACGCCATAACATAACATGAAAGCACAACGCAATGAAATTTGTAACACACGGAAAAAAACCTAACATCGTAATATTGTAGAGTTATGCCACCCCCCCCCCCCCCCCTCCTCCCTATAAAGCACGCCATAAAGTTTGGTTTAGATCTTTTGATTGTTATCACACATTTTATTTTTATCATAGCCTAGCATATAAAAAAACAAATTCTTTTAAAAATAATTAGCAGCGCTTTAAATCTTATTTGAAGCTGCAGCTTCTTCAAGCCTGGCCAGGTAAAACGGCGCGTACCAAGACCAGATGCGATCAGACAGGCTTGTCAGCTTGCACTTTGAACACAACTTGCGTCGCCGGCCTTAGACAATGCCTGCGTTCATTCATTAAAATAGAACATCCACCCAGACAACTAAATCAATTTCTACACATCAGTCCACACCGCTCTTACAAAACAGGAGCTAGAGATGGGCATCTATAAATAAATCTCGCCTAGGAAAAAGCACGCAAGTAGTGGTAAAAATTTAATTGACGTAATTGTCCAAAGAAAAGGTTTTTGTTTTAATAGAAGAAGTAGTGTGTGCATACAGCTATCTGAACAACGAATCGCTTAATCTTTGACACGAAAATTGTGTGCATAGACGCGCGGGCTACGAACAATACCCGTGTCCAGGGAAGGCCTGCATAAAAAACATAATCTATTGATTTCAACAGTTGAAACTTGATACGCGTTTCCATGACAACTGTTCAAATGTTTGCAGGGTTGGTTGTTTGTTTTTTTTTTCTTCCTTTTTATTTCCAAAGATAAATTTCGCGTTAATGATGAAACCAACCTGACAGAATTTGACAAGTCACACATTTATCATCCTAGCCTCGGCTGTTTTAATAATATTTTATTTTTTTTGCAATTCGCTTTCTCGCTCTACACACACACACGCATACATACACATACACACACATACACACACAAACAGACACATACGCACACACATACAGACACATACGCACACAAACTGAGTCGGCATTAGTTGCAATAAATCATGTTCATATTCGGCAGTACAGACTATTTATGGCAATGTTTGCTAAATCATATTCGGCTTCTTCATCTAAACAAGCCCAAACTAAATCGTAACTATTTTCTTAAAGCACTTAACCTAACCTTAAAGCTAGTTGAGTGATGTGGTATAGCTGTGAACAAAATGTGTATTTTTTGCACCGTCAAAACAAAATAAAAAATAGACTGACCTGGTAGGCGTCCGGTATGTTGACCACCTCCCCCATCTTAGCCACATAGCCGGCTATCCCTGTCCCTAAAGGTATCCGTATCTCGTCCTCCCGGTCGCTGACGGTTTCGAACTCGGAATCGCACGTGACGTCGAAGAGCTTGGAGGCCAGGTACTTCTCCCCGGTCCCCTTGACCAGGAAGAGCGAGCAGCGGTCAGCGTTGAGCAGGATGCAGAGGTTCTGGAGGATCTTGAAGCAGAGGCTGGTCACGTCCAGGTCGTTGCAGATATCCATGACCAGCTCGTGCATCAGCTCCTTCTCGTCCAGGGCCTTCAGCTCGCTCTTTGACCGTCTCCGGCATTTGGCCTGTGTGGGGGTGGACGAGGCCGAGGGCCCCAGAAACGTAGGCAGCCCGTCGACCGTTGAGATTATAGGGTTGAGAATCCCACCCCTTTCAAACTCCTGGGCGGAGATTTTCCTGACGGGCGTGTTGGCGCCCGAGCTAGTCCTGGAGTTTGAGCTGGCACTGGAGGTGCTGAGGTTGTCTGCCCCGGACAGCGCGTGTGCGATCAGCCACCCGTCCACCATGCTTTTCCTGGCCTTCCTGGCGAAGTAGTCGTGGACGAACTCGGGGTGCTCGTCCAGCCAGCGCTCCATGGTGTCGTACTCCTGGCGCAGATCGTCGTCGTCATTGTCCACGCCTCCCCCGTGGTGCTGGTACACACCTGCACCAGACGTGCTCATCCTGTTTACAGCATAGCTCGTCCCTCGGGACATGCGACTACGAAAGCCCCACGGGGAATTCCCGCCCCGAACATTGGCGAAACTCTGCTGTAAAGTTCCCGGGCTCGGAGATGTGACCGAACGAGCGCTCGACTCACCGCCGGGTCCGGCTAGGGATGCGGCAGGAATACCCCCGCCGATGGAGCTGGGGACCCTCTGTGCACCGGATGAACCGATATTGCTGCTTGCTGGTTTGTCGCGATTTGAATCCAGTTTGACAGATCTGCGAGCGACACTGTGACTGGGGGAGTGTTCGCGTGAGTTGGGGAACCTATTAGTGCGAGTAATGAATCAAACTCGCGACCAATCGATGCGAGGCAAGGGCGAGCTCAGCGATCACACATCTAACCGTTTTACTTGTTCGAATTGTGTTTCCGACAACACTTTCTCCCCCGCTAGACGAGGCTAGACTAGTTACATGACAAAATAACAAAACACCGAGTGAAAGTCAACTTACACGGCTGTGAATGTGTACACTATCCTCCAACACTACAGCACTACACATAGATCCGTGTTTAAAAAAAAAAATCCTTCACAGGTCGGTAGGCCTAGGTTTATATTTATATACACTGTACAGTTATTCCCTTCAGCAAACAGCTCGCCCTATATCAGTATACTGCTAGCACTATGATCAATACACCGTTTACATTTCACGAGAGTACTTGGCCTAATAAAATAAACGTAAGAAAATCGGCGCTTGATTTACAACTTGTCCATAATAGGAATCCACATGCATTTGTTGTCTAACAAGACAGCGAACCTACTTTTCCTCAAGGATAACCCCACACGTTTGATCAAAGTACTGTCGCACACCTGCGTTGAAGAAGGGAAAAAAATTAAAATAACAAGACACCGGTTTGTGTATAAGAAAGGAAAACGTGGGGCCCGTTGTGCTATTTCTCGGGCAGACTATTTCGCGTCTGCGCCTTTCACCGGCTTGATAACTCATCGATCCCAGCCCGTCTGCTTGGCGAAAAACCCCGTTACAACGTCCAAGAAAAGGCGATAGCTTCTACCGACACGTTCGGTGGCCGTGCTACCGCCACTGTGGTCTACGTCACTACTCCAAGGCTAGAAAACACCGTAGCAACATGTTGGGCCAACGCTTCACCCGTGGCGACCCCCAAACGTATTTTAATTTTCTATTTCCTGTTATTTTTTTTTTCTTTCATCAAACTGGCGCGCGATTCACAGATTTCTCATGAATTCCTAAAATGCTTGTTAGTAACGATAGCGACCATTGGTTGCTTATAAAACCACGTGATATAAACAGAGGGGGTGTGTTCGGTTAAAGTGGTGGGGTATAGACTATTTTGTTTTTTACGTTCAAGATCTACACACTTTATGGCGGACTATGACAACAAACACGGCTGTGCTAAATATAATTTATTAAAATGAGGCCACTGTGAAGGAACACACTTAAAACTAGAGATTACTTCGTATTTCTAATGAAATTTAAACGAATAACTGATATTTTTTTTCAGTAGTTTTAAGGCCGAGCTAGATTCTAGATCTAGATCTAGATCTAGATTCTAGTACTAGATTGACTAGAATCTAGAATCGAGATCTTGTCGATTAAATTAATTCTCCAACTGCTACTATTTTACTTTAACCTGATTACTTAACTAGATTGTGTTGTTGTTTACATGTGTCAAATTGAATCGAATTCAAAATACACTACTGCCCTGTACTTTCCTAGCAATAATAGTTTGCAGACAGTCATGTAATAATATCCCAGTGACATTCTTAAGATTTTTTTTAAAATTAAGACAAGTTGACAATGACATAACAGAAAGAAAAAATCTCATATGCCACACCACATATATGTTAAATAACTTGTAGGAGCCTAACCTCCACATGCACTATTCGGTACTGCAGCAGGTGTGGTTTATTTAATTAGAATCTTTATATATTTTCATTAGAAAGTTTTAAAGCGTGTCTTTCCTGCACTAGGTTAAAAAAAAAAAGGAATGTGAAGCGCCCACACTGTTACACCCACAAATATGTGTACATAGTGCCTCCAGATAGCTTCTATTAAGCTGACATTGCATTTTAATTTAAAAGTTATATTTTAATACCCTTTATATCCAGTCTATTATATTTCAGTGTAATTTTCATAACCGATAAAGAGAAATTCCATGCGGGGAAGGGGGGTTAAACTTTAATGCGGATGTGCAGCATGGAAAAATAGGGGTATGAATGGTAACGAATGTGACTTTTTTTTTTAAAATTAAATTCAAGGGGAATAGCTGTGTTAATAGTAAAATTAAGGGGAGTTAATATTACGGTGGCTGAAGGGAAACAACCGTGTAAATAGTTGGCTTCGAATTTGGTACTCTGAATTATCCATCCATGTTGAAAAAGTAACAACGGAAAGAACGATAACAAACTTTGAACACACTGGCATAGATAATTAGTTTTAAGAACATATCTGCGTATTGTTTGTATCACATTGAAACAGATGTAGATCTATATGAAGTTACAAGTGCGAATTTTTAAAAAAACAAACCAAATTGAGACAATTAACCCATTAAAGCCATTTTACGATTTGTGAGGTGGTAATTTAATGATCAGAAGAAAAACGCCTAGTTTAGAATTAGAAGTTTCGTGCAAATATATGCAGGTATCACGAAGGGAAGTAGAAGATCATAATTTTGTTGTGTTGATCACGGGGTGGGGTTGTTATGTAAAATGCAGTGTTTCTTTCAGACATTTTATTCTGATTTGGGGAATGTGCGTGGGACACTTGTTTAAGAGATATGTGAAAGAAATTCTGGTTACATGGGTTAAGGTGATATTTTCTACGTATGGTATGTTGATACGTTACAAGTGGTAGCGTAATGTGATGTTATATGGGGATATTTTGCATGGGGTAGGGTGATGTTACATAGATGTTCCACCGGCCCGGAACCCCTTTATGAAGGCATGGGGTGTGGTCGGCCACAAATCGTACTTTTGTTGTGAGGGGGCTCCACAGGTCATCCTCTGTTCAATTTTAAAATGTGAATAAATCATTTAAAGCCATTTCAACCTTTATCATCAAGATTGAATTTCGGCAATGGTCACACAGCGCTTAGTAGATGAGTGTATTTCAGCAAATTACTTTAAAATTATAAGTGCAATACTAAAGGTAAATATTTTAAAAACTATTTTAGATACAAGTATTTTCCCTTCTTCATGTACTTCATCGTGTTACTTTCATTTCAGCAACTTTTTATTTCTTAAATGATTGCTTATTAATTTAAAAAAAGGGCAGATATTAATTCTATTTTCCACAGGGTTTTTCCCCAATTATATTATTACCATTAGAAAGTTTCCTTTTAAAAAAAAACAAAATAATTGTTGTGACTTAGATTTTATTGTAGGAAAAATAAAAATGTAGCACAACGTTCATAACTGACAGCCACATAACGAGCCCAAAATGTTCTGTAACGGAGCAATGATAGATGAACTGTGCTAGTCATGTAAGGAGCAATCACTCACATTTTCTCTCAATTAACCAGGAGAGTAAAGACTAGGCCTACTAAGAGACCACGGTTACCTGTAATATACAGCTATTTTAATATGGGAATGTCACATTTCAGGGTCTATATTCTAGGATGGAATGCTAAATACTGGCAAAATATTTATTTTACCACTAATTTCCATGTGAAGATGCCAATATTTAACGTTGTACTTAAGACTGACTACCAATATTATTTTAAATAATTTGAAAATTTAATAATTAAAAAACATCTTTATCAATGCTTGCTTTCAAACACCATTTATTAGCAATGCATCAGTATTATTTTGTCAAATAAAATATTTTGAATGCAGAGATCAGTTATACAGGTTAACAATTGGCCCATACATCATCCCCTTTAAGGCAGTCAACATGAAAGCTGTGGAACTAAGAGGAATGTCATGTTGATCTACGCCACTTGAATGGCAAATCTAAACTTTTGGTGAAAATACTATTCGGTTATTTGAAAGAATTTTAGCTGAATGATTGCATAGAATTACACAGTTGAAGACAAAAGTTGGTGTCAAGTAGAAACACCTAGTATCACTAAATTTGCAAAACAACTTAAACACAACTACTAATTCTGTCATGAAAAACATCATTTAATTATTCAGACAATATGTATATTATATACGAGTGGTAAGCCTAGAAATAATGATTTGTGTTGCCTTGGTGATTAAGAGATTTTTCTATCTTTTTAAGACTATTTCTAAGAAATGGACAATTGTTTTCCACCCTTAACCCAGATTGTGCTGCCTGAACTCTACTAATAAGAGAACACTTCAATAACCAATCCAGTAACAAATGTAACTACAACATGCATTAGCAATGCTGGCAGCTTAAAACAATACATTCTTTTGACAAAGCAAAGAGATGTAATTAGCTCTGGAAATTCACATAAGCTTACACAATACTATTTCATCAGCTCACTGTATCACAACAAAATAGACAAGTCATGCATTCACAAGTAAACAGATGCACTCAATTAAATAACAGTTATGAATGCATCAGGTAAAAAACTAATTAAATTTGGGGATATACCATTCAAAGTACTTTTACCAACTCATACCTTATCAAACAATATCCTATGAAATAGTACAGTACCATAAAAAAAAGTTCCAATGTACACTCCACACATCCTGATCTCACTCATCTTTCAACACCCCAAAACAAAATGGAAGGATGATATGAGTGGATGAAAGCTTTTATGAAATGGATGAAGAAAATATGCATTCATGATATGAAGGAAGTACAGTGTGTGCACCTTTCAACCCTTTCCACCCACAAGCAAGTCTGATAGAGCATGTCATAACAACTGCAGTTACAAAAATGATCGGTGTAGGCAGAACTGTAATCAGGTAAGTTCAACACAAGGTGTGTCAGGTGTCAGTTATCTATGGGCAGTCAAGTTGTCAAACAAAGTCCAACCATGTTGAGCTTGCCTGATATTAACAGTTATACCTACATATTCTGCTACCAACAGTAACCAATTGAGACCCATCTCCCATCCTGTGATTAACATTGGCAAGTTTTTATAAGGAATTGGTTACTTTGGAGCCAGCTTGAAGAAAAAAAAAATGTGCTAGCTGAATTGTACAACAGACTAGTAACCATTCTTTCTGATACTCTCAGCTCCCACACACTCAAGCACTCTTTTTCAACTAAAAATATGGCAAAAATAGAATGACAAAAAAACGTTCACAGAGATAATGTCATTAGCTTCAACATAAGTAGGGAAAAAAGAAACACTATGTAAGACTGAGATCTGATATTTACAAAGTAACAAAAAATACACAAAGACAGCCACCCTGTACATAATGAAAATGATGGGCCAGCACAGAGCCAGCTGTGATGACACCCTACAGACTGCTTTTTTATCCAACCAAAAGCAATATAAATCTAATTGGCTGTCTTGCCCAAAATAAGACAAGCCAGAAAATTATAGGATGCTCATGTTGAAAAGGAAAAAGATGCACACACTGTGAAAGCAGGATTTGTTATGTTCAGTTTTGTCTTTAGATCATCCAGCCGAGACAAGTTTTATCAGCGACGTCCTTGCTGAGCCATGCCACCACGTGGGGCCAGGTTAGGTGAACCACGCATGTCTTGCCGATTATTGAAACCACTGCTGCCCTTCATGCCACCCCTACCACCGCCACGGTCATTTCCATAAGAAGCTCCTCCAGATCTGCCCTGGCCCTGTCCGCCCATCCCACCTCTGGAACCTCCTCTTCCTCCACGAACTCCATCAGTGTTTCTGGGCTTCTTTTCCTCCACATTTAAACGATGTTCACCTTTGTACTTGATTGGCTGGTGTAGCTGAAACCAGACAGACAACAGATTAAAAATTTGGAGGTTTCTATTGTATACAAAAAACATTTACAGAGATGTCAATACAGGGTTACCACAATTTTTCTACAAGGAAATTCCCTGCTATCTTTCATAGCACATAACCAGTAAATTAAACTGGAAACAACAAAAAATTTTAAGGGGTGCTACTCATGTTTAAAAGTGAACAATATTATATCCTAAAATGTATCTAAAAACTAAAATTTTTTACCCTGAAACAATGTCGTGTCAGAAATTTTTATAAACAAAATTGACAATATCTGCTTGTTTTTCAAGACATTTGATTCACATTATGTTAAATTATAACAATCTTCAAAAAAAATATATTTAAACAATTATGCACATCACAAATAGTTTTAAATTGTAGACTCATCTTGATCTCATAATGCAATTACATTTCTAGAACCTCCCTATACATAACTGTTTATGTTAATACAGATAAATAATACATTGACTTAACCATTAATGATGGCCCGTAACGCCCTCTGCCGCCCGCTTACAATACACATAGAAAAATTAAGTTTGTTTCATTAAAATTTGGACTACAAATCCTAAATTTTAACCAAACAGGAAGTTGGATAGTTTCAGCATGTTTTTCCTGTTTATTAATTTCAATGGCGATTTTGAAATATACATAATATTAGTCTTTCCATCCCAAAATGTTTGACTCATATGTCCTATTTTTTAATTAAAAATAAAAAATAGTCCAGCAAAATGGAATCCTGCTATTATAACTGATTATTGTACAAAAACTATTGCACTCAAACTTAATTTTATACCTGACCTGTTTCTATTTTTGTGATTATTTATGATACAGGGCCTGCAAGGAAAGGAATATAGTAGCGGAAAAAATGCCCGCTAATGTTTAGAAATCCTAGGCTAGCATAGTAGAAGTTGTACCTTGTAGGCATGCGTGATTGGTGGAAACCATTACAGTAAAAATGCTTGGGAGTATTTAATAAAAACAATTTCTAGATTATCAAAACTTTTTTAAACATCAAACATTTTAAAACTCAAATTATGCAGAAAGGAATAATCGGGAAAAATTGTACCTCTTGACAAAAAACTGAAATTTTAGCAACTATCGCAAATCTTTGATGAATGCTTTGATTAATTTTGTGCAAAATCGTATTAGCACAGCGAAACTAGTTTTTGCGCCTCAATTCTAGCTGACTAGGCTATAAAAGGCAAACATCGCATAAGCTTAGTCCAAACCACGCGATTTGAGGGGTGAAAAAATTCCCAGCTATTTTGAAAATTTCTCAAATATTCATCTGATTTCCTGGCTTTCTAAACCTGGAAATTTATCTGAAATTCCCAGTTTTCCTGCTGTGGGAACCCTGCAATAACTTCAACATAAGTAGGGAAAAAAATCCAGGGGCACAAATACATTCTAGAAAAAGGTGTAGCTCAGATAATGTTGTAATCAGATATCAGTCGCAACTTACAAACATCATTGCTACAGGATGGATATATGGTTAGAAACATTTACAAATGCAAAAAATGTGCAAGAAGGTTATGTAATGAAAAATTACCTTTATCTTCAGAATTTCCTGAACAGTATCTGGATTTTCAAACACCACAAAGCCAAAGTTCTGTAAGGAGTAAGGAAGCAAATTGGTTAAATCACAAGTAACGAAACACAGTATGAACTACATACTGCATTATATGGAAACAAAGTAGCTCAGTAAACTTTATCATCACATTCAGACGCAACTTACAAACATCATGGCTACAATATAATTATGAAAAGGCTTTTTTCATATTATTTTTTTACAGATTCTGTAAATATTTGATAGCAATAAAATGTCATGGTTAGACATCTCTAAAAAATAAAACTTACAGGTACTTTGCCACCACCACTTTTAGTGTTGATCCGAAGTTCTTCGACTTTTCCATATTCTATTAAATTGTGAAAAAGTATATATTAATAAAACTCAAGTAACAGGTTTTCTAATCTCCTAAGGTAAAAACTAACCATAACTCCGCTTATTCTACAAAATATTGAGGATTCAATTACATTTAAAGCGAACTCAATACTTACGTTCAAAAAATTCTTTCAACTCTGATTCTGTAATGATATGTGGCAAATTACCAACAAATAATTGTTGGTTGTCCGAGTACTTAGAGCCACCAACTCCACCCCCTCCAACACTATTGGAGCGCCGCCCATTCACACTGTCTGTATCACCATCTCCGTCACCACGGCTGACACTGCTCCTATCTCTGTCGTAACGTTCACGGGGCGCCCTAAAAAATAACATTTAGAATAATGATACACAATATAGGAGGAAGTTCATTTCCCAACAATTTATCCAGCATGTGTTCAGTTACTGCCTTCCCAGTGATTAAGCCATGTACTCAAATTTTATGTGTGCCTACCACTAATTCATTTTTTAAGATAATCCTAAAATTTAAGCTCCAAATTTTTTCTAAGCTGTTTTATCCAGACGTATAGATCTAATGCAACTTTCTGTTTAATAAAGATTTCTAATATCAGCTTGCAAGATTTGTCCATTTATACAAAAAATAAAAATCTGCCAACTTTCATAATATAAAAAGTGCAAGTAGGGTATGAAAATTCCTCTTTCAAATAAACATTCTGCCCAGTAACGTTGAAAGGTCATATTACTGTTTGACAGAAATTCAATTGTTTCGTCAAAAGGGAAGGGAAAAATATGCTTTTGGACAATATCTGTAAACATTATGAAATGCACAAAAGCAAGTTAACAGGTAGTATGAAATTTACCTTGGTGCTCTCTGAGATTGAGGTGTTTGAGAAGGAATTCCATCTGATTTAGGAGGTTCAGCTCTTGATGGGGGTGGCTTGCTTGAGTGAACAGGAAGTGGTGCATAAGAACTTTGAGGAGGCGCAGCAACACCACCCGGTGTATTCTTACCTGCCAATGCTGCCCAGGAAACAGGTTTAGGTCCTATAAAAAAATTAACATTTAACACTTTCCCAGCTACCCCATCAGAAAGAACATCTGTTACAAATGTTGGCTCAGGTTAATGAGTACAAAAACTTTTCTTTCATCAAATTTCACATAAGAGAGGGCAAGTAAAATTCATCATCGCCAACACAATGACAGCTACAGATTTTCGAAACAAAGGCAAGTTTCAATATTTACATTTTACACAAAATAAATAAGTTTAGCAAATTAAATCAAGTAGAATGGAGGAAAGTAATAAAGCAAATGCAAACAATTCAGATGTAACAAAATTGCCAATTCATTGAATTCCATTCCAATTTTTAAAAAGGTGTTAAATGTTGAACAAGCACTAAGTTAACATCCACATCAGTAACTAAATGAAAAATACATACCAGGTGGAGGATCACTGTACTCCTGCTGGGCAGGTTCAGCAGCAACAGCAGCTGGCTTCACATCTTTCTGTTCATACTTTTCTACTTCTGCTACCGGAACCTCTTCTACAGGTCTTGATTCCCTTTCTACAGGGGGACTTATTTCTTCAGTTTTCTGGGGCTGTGGCGCTGGTGCTTGAACATGCACTGGAGCTGACTCTTGAACTTTCAATGTTTCAACCTCAATCACTGGGCCATTGCTATTCAGATAAAATGGTCAGTATATGAACGACTGCTATTCAAAACCTTTAAAACATTTTAAATAGGAAAAACAATTCACGGGAAGCTACAGCATACCTTAGTGGGACCTGATCATAATAAGGTGACGAGATATCTGGACTAGTAGGAGCCTGATCTTGACCATTTTCCATGATCTCTTCTCTAGGATCAGTTATAAACCCTAAAATAGGAAAAACAATATAAGAAAAGAAAAAGCCATACACTAAAACAAATAACTTCCATTACAGTACACATACTTGACACTGAAAAAAAAACTTTCTACAAATGCTGCTTATTAAAAATAACTTAAGAAAGACTTACTGTCAGCCTCCTCTACTTCCTCTTCATCATGAAAAACTTCATCTTGATATCGGAAAATGTCATTGTGGACATAAAACTTTTTAGGGGTCTGTGGCACCAAGACAAAAGTCTGCATGAATCTGCGCATTGGCTCACCATTGTTGCTTAATTCACCGGTCACCTGAACAACAACGGAGTCTTCCACAGTTGCCTGAGCATCAACTTGGCGGATCTTCGCATGGCAGTCATTAAAGTTTAAAGAAACTATCTTCTTATGGATAGCCTAAAAATAAATTTTATAACATAAAATTACTGAAACTTCTCATGGCAAAAATATTTTCCCTCCACCAATTAAATGTTATATATATAACATTCTATTAAAATCTTAAACAATTAGTCTTTGAAATTTTACTAGGACAACAAAAGTAAGATACTATTTCCGGTAAAAGATGAATGGAAAAATACAAGATCAAAAACTTAAACATCAAAAGTAGTAAAAACCCACCTCTTGACCAATAACAGGTGGTTGTTCATTACCAGCTTTTTCAACTCCACCATGTACAAAAGCTGAATTGTTACTGTAAAACCTGTAATAAAAAAATTGTGAAAAAAAAAACTCAAAAAAGTTCTGTTTGTAGTTTCTTGAAACACTGACAATAATATATTTTCAAAAATTGCACCATTGTGCATCTGCAATGTGATGGACAAAAACTTAACTCGCATGTACCAATGATTGTTATTTTCCTTCAAGAACAAAAAGCATTATGCTAGTGCGGCTGATAAAGCACTTTATCAGCCACAAAGTCTTACAATTTGGAATAATCTTAAATGATGATAATCACAAACTGAATTGTTTTTCAATTTCATGAACATGTGAATTTAGATAATCTTCAGGTCAGGAAAGGCATACAGCATACTAATAAAAACATTTAGACAGTCAAGTAACATACAGGTATTTTATTTTTAGCATGTGATTTACCTGCTTTTGGAAGTTTAATGTTAAATAAATTTGAGCAATTTTTGGGTATTGGCTCTTAGTTTAATCTACATACTGTTTTTGAAATCATGCTTTAAAAGCAAACAAGTAAATGAAACAAGAAAGTAACAAGAAAAAAACTATTTTTCTGTTAATTTGATTTTTTAGTGGAGATATGTTTGTCACATCACAACCTGCTGTTAAAAACGTATAATAAAGGTCAAATTAGTACAAGCAGGCAGTCCTGGTGTATTCATTCTCTATTCCTTACTGATAGATTATATAACACTTTTTTGAAAGCTACAATTTTTGCTTTTAAAAAGACAAATTTGCAAATTGGCAAGATATAATGAAGATAAACACCTGTGAAGATGAAGAGGTGCTTCATGAAGCATTGTGTAATATTGCCGTACGAATTCCCGGCCAACTTCCTGGGGTCCAGGAGTTTCCATTACCATTGTGTTCTGAAAAAAATAAAAATGCCAAATACTAAAAAATCAAACAGAATTAGCTGTGTAAAATATCAGATTCTAAATTCTCAATTTTACAAATTAAGATTTTAATAATTGAACTATTCAGTGAATCTCTGTAATTATAAGAGTCAAATTATCCTAACATTTAAACTTTTAATTTCTTGCATAGCCATAACTGCTGTTACCAATACTTAACTTGATAGTATAATACTACCAATAAGCTGACCAGAGGTATGTCTTTATACTACTGTCCAATGTTGCCACAATAGAATCTTATAAAAAGGGGGGGGGGGGGGGGGGGGGTGTTAGATTACTGGTTAACAATTATAACTTGCTAAAATCAATAACTTCTGAACTTTAAATTTGAGATTTCAATACTAATGACAACCTTACATTTATTATTTAAGTCTATTGTCCGACTTCAGTAATACCAATATTCTAAACAGATAAACATCCATCCATAAATTAACTGCTCCATTAAATGATGACAAAAATCCAACACTCCTTTTTTTTAAAAACTAGTCGGCTATAGGTTAGTAGGCCTATACAGTTAATTTCAGGCAAAATCGGTAGTATTTTTGTTTTGGACTTAGTAGGCATTGTACTAGCTTGTTAATATTTTCAATAAAAAATTATGAGCAGGCAGAAATATCTTCTGGTACTGAGTTTTCTTTAGTCGAGAAAGAAGAGTTCTAGTCCTGAATGCATCTAACCTCTGAAAAATCTTAGTATGGTAAAGCAGGGCACTAAGAGCCATGTGGTATAAATTAGGACCCAGTAAGCACCCCCCCCCCCCCACACACACAAAACTACTGATCTTCTGAGGTCACAACCACTGTCATTTATGACCCACCTGGCCCAGTAGGGAGAAGATGAAACATGAATTAATCCCACTGCTCTTTCTTCAAAATTTCTCACCCCCTGAAAACTATTTTGAGAAACCTCCATAATACTATTTTGTAATTTTTTTTTTCCAAGTTGATATAACCTAGGAAACTTCACTCAGGGTTCATGCTCCAGAACTAAAAATAATTCCATGAGTTTACCAGATTTCCAGGATTTTTAAACAAATACCAGGAGATTTTAAAATTAAGAAAGTTCATGTGATGGAAAATGTTATAGACCTAGACCCAATATGCTTAAATTAGAAGGGGTCTACTAATTATTTTAAGCGGTATTTTGGAACTACTTGAAAAAACATTGGAGCCAAAAATTATCACCTTGATAATTTCCAAACCACATTGTTATTTATGCTTTTAGCCTAATTGTAGTAGTAGAGTCAGTAGACAGCTTTTACAATTTGTCGCCGGTATAGTTGGCCTAGAGCATGTCAAAGCAGGAATAACACTGCTACTTAAGATTAGCAGTAATGTCAATTTTATTACAAGCTGTATCAAACATGAACCGGGCTAAGCTGATGTATTTGTTCTTCAAAAACAGCAATATTATATAATCTACTTTTTAACAATTTTTTACAAAAATATATTACTGAAAACATCAGTGGAAAATTCAGAAGTTTTAGAGATTTTTAAACATTTCATGAGAATTCCAGGTTTTGATAATTCTCAGAGTAAAACTTGACAATATCATAATGGTTTTATTTGTTAGATAACTAAATCTTTATGAATACATCACTTTTGTCCACTAGCTTGCATTTTCAGAAAAGTTAAAATTGTTATGAGGCTATTGTTGCCTGTGGTTCTAATCCCTTGGTAGGTAACATGGATTGCTGCTCTTAGATCTCAGCCAACCAGCGATAGCATCTTTTATGTAATTTATGACCCTTAGGCTCCAGCAGGAAGAACAAAGGGGAAATAAGTACCACTGCTCTCCCCTCAACATTTCTCACCATGTCATGTTATGTAATGTATAGCACCCATGGCTTATCAAGGGCCAAGTGATAGCTGGTATCATTCAAAGTGTGTACACTGCATTAACTATTTTGGGGTTAATTAAATGATTTTATAGTGAGTTCGTCTAAACTAGGAGATAATACTTAATGCCCCATGGCCTGGCTACATTTGCCCCAAATGCTGATTTTGAGTCATGGCTATAGATGCTAAATTAAACTAATTAAAAGTAAATTGAACCCTTTATTATTAATTTTATATTGTGTAAGATGTGTTAAAATAATTTTGGGACGATTTTAGATACCGGTGTCCGATAATGGAATCTTCTTTAAAAAAAGGGGTGTTGGGTAGTTAGTAGTATAGTAATCTCGACTAATGTTATGGTTAGAAATTAGGGGTAGGCGTATGGTAAGACCAGGTTTGGGATTATGGGCAGGGTAAGTATTGACATGTGCGTATTTAGTTAATTACCAGTAACCTAACACCCTTTTTAAAGAAAATTCCATTATTGGACACTGGTATAAAAATTGTCGTTGTCCCCCCCCCCCCCCCCCCCCCCCCCCGAATTAAAATTGTCCCTAACTTTGCATTAATTTCAATATTAGAAAAGTCCTTAAAAATTTACAATTTTTACAGGAGCTAAAAAGCATGGCTCTCAGTGCCCTTCTTTGCCCTACTAATTTTGTCTTGACAAGCTCAATCCTGGATACTAGAGCTACCATGCCTAGTGTACTTTTTCTTCTCGATCTATTTGAAATTTCAGTCATTTTGCTATTGCTACCCTAGGCTTTTGATGATTAGAGGGACACAATAGCAAAATGTGCGGAAAAACCCTTAGTACAATCACCATGTGGAGAATCTAGGCCTATTTTAAAGAATCAAAGCTTTTACCAGAGGGCCTGGCTGAGTCTGTACAATAATTTCATTCATTTGTAGCCGGATGATTTTAGATGCCGATAATAGACTCTTCCATAAAATAGGTGTGTTGGCTTGTTGGTAGTATTGACATCTCTGACTAATTTTAAGGTTTGAAATTTAAATTAGGGTTAGGCGTATGGTAGGACCAGGGTTAGCATTGATGATATTAGCCAGCCATGTGTGTATTTATTTAGTTAACTACCAGTAACCTAACACCCCTTGTTTTAAGATGATTCCATTATCGGACACCGGTATAAAAAATCCCCTTGTAGCCTAATATAATAACTTAACATAAGCCTAATGATTTCTTAACAAAGAAGTAACAGGAGTAGATCTAGATTTCTGGATCTAGAGAGCAAACTTTAGCAAGTCTTAACAAGCTTACACAAATTAGGCTAAATAATCTAGATCTTCATTCTAGATCATAATCAGTCTGGATTTAGTTTATATTACTCAATATAAAACCGGCTTTGGCGTACATCTGTCAACTGTTCCTTTCAGCTAAAATAGATTCTGAGCTCTTGATCCAAAAATTCTAGACAATGGCCATGGGGCCTTACTACGCAGTCTAAAAGACGGTTTTGATTCGCTATACTTTTCAAAGCCCGAAATAGCAAAAACCTTATCGAGGTCTTGGAATTTCAGGTTCACTGTATAAAGGATTGTCAGTTAATTGAATGCCGATTCTGTTAGAAAGATTTTGATGGAGGTTTACGGTTAAGTTTTTGGGTAATCTATCGTTTTGGGTACGTAAAATCGCCCGCGGCTATTTATGTACGAAAACGTTACCTCATTGTCAAGGCTTTAATAGAAGTATATTGTCATACTTTTGTGTCAAATATTATAGATAAATGAATAATACACCTAAATCAATGGCTAAATATATCGATATAGGCCAGAAATCAACTTTAAAGTACTTTAAACAGCAGTGTCTGAGAGCAAGATTTGCTATATAAACAGCAGCCATTTGTAAAATAGAGTGGCTTCCCCCTTAATCTGGCGCTAAAAGCTTATAAAAATAAAACTTAGACAAGATGGCTGCTATAGTAAATGAGCATGGTTGCATCTGTTGGAAACATCGCTAGTCTTCATTTATTACGGAAAAATTTTAATTCAATTGTTTAAAAACAGGTACATAAATGAATCAAGGAAACATTTTTGAATTTTTTAAAACATAAACCCTCCTCAAAATGTGAAATAACTATTAAAATTTAAGGAGTCACCTGTTTTTCACATTACAAATCGCGGGCGATTTTACGTACCCAAAACGATAGATTACCAGTTTTTGACTGCACGGGTTTTTTTTCACTCTTTCATGTCTGACATCAGTCTACATAACCTACAGCACGGAGTCTAAGACATATGTACAATAACAGTTAACAGTCACACGAAACAAATACATGAAATTTTAATAAATATAAGTGCTTAAGAAATCTAAAACAATAATACTTTACTATTTTCAGTTTCTACATCAATATACGTACAAAAATAAGGAATTTTTCTCCTCAAAAAATTATCCCGTACACATGGGATGGTGCGCAGGTCGGGTCTAAAGAAACAACGATCTGCGCAGGACTCTCGTGAAAAGTGTGGTAGCAGCCCCAATTTTATTCTGAATATGCATTTAAATTTTTTATTTTACAATTAATTTATTTTATTATCTGTAAATAAAGCAAAAAACTATTATTGTACAAATAAAATTAATTTTAAGTAATCTTATATTCGCTGAAGTCGATTAAATGAATAATGAAATTAAAATTAAAGGTAAATGGTAAATAAGTTTAGTAATGCAGGTTTCGGGATGCTTCCGGTTAAAATATTTATTGTTCACTTATTAATGTTTTTATTTCTACAAAAATACTACGATTTTTTTTTAATTAGACAAATAACATTTTTCAACTTTGTTATTTTTTAAATTTTCTAATAAATTTATACCACAATAAAGATCATAGGCCTAAACGATTGTAATTTTAACGCATGCGCAGACTCCATAACTACACAAGCGTCTGGGTTCCTGTGAGTGTAGACAAATTGATGAAAAAAATGATAGAGGGCAGGGATTTCAATTAATTAAGTTAAGACGGTATTAAAGAAATTCTAGCAGACATCAAAACAAATCTGAAAGTGAAAAGTAATTTTAAACATAGACATCTATATTGACTGTATTAAGCATTCTTTATAATAATTTAGGCAGTGGCGGCGTTTAAAACTTAAGAAAGTTCCAACTTCAAACTAAGTTTAATTAATTATTAATTAAACGCCAAACGGACATCAGTCAGTTGAGTTACCCGTGTTATAAAATCTAAACTTTTTAAAATAATACAAACTATTGATTCGCTTAACTCAAGCAACATCAACTAAATCTAGTTACTTCTAAAAATGGCAATGAATTATCACATGGAAGCTCGTCGTCGGCAAAGGTTCATGGAAAGAGTTTGTGAGGCAAGGAAGCGCTTGGCAGCTGGGGCTGCAGCGCCAGATGGAAATGATCAACGGCTACAGGTGACACATTAATGACATTATCATTCATTATTACAATTAAATTATCTAGAATCTATGATTGTTAAAAATATTAAAATTAAATTGATAATGATAAATTATTTCATCACTAAATAAAAATGAAGTGTTTATTCAGGTGACCCTGTTTATTCACAGTCTACTGTAGTACTGTGAATAGCCGTTTTAAGGCTATTCATATGGATAACTGTTTTTGATAGATTTAATGTTAAAAACACCAATTTTAAAAGTTGTGTGGTTGAGTGGAACTGTGGGGGTGGCTGTTGTGCCAGAAGGTGTGGGTTCGAATTCATCAGATGAATAACCTTTTGAGTCTTTGACACTTCATTTATTCCCCCTATCAATTAGCAATGTGAACTAATAACTAAACTGATGCATAATTAATATTATTTATTTACAAATTACTAGATCTATTAATTAGACTAGTATAGACTTAATTAGAGTGCATAATGATAATTGATTAGTTCATCTACGACCAACGTAGCAGATATGAGCCTAAAAGCTAAACTTAAACCATTATAATTTTTAAAATAAAAACATAACACGGTATAGATCTAAATAGGTATAGATCTAAATAGCAATGCTCTCTTAATCTATACCTCAGTCCTCAGTCACAATAAATGCTTTTATTATTGTAAAATATTATTCCCAGTCGTATTTAGCATGAAATTACAGTCGACTGTGAATCGCAGTGGGGGTTATTAACAGTCGGCTGGGAATAGCCCCAATACGGCTATTCTCATCCGGCTGGGAATAGCCATGGCCGCCGGTTGGTAATAGCCGTGGCTCACTAAAAATATCTAGCATATGGCATATATTATATATTTTTATATATATTATATATACTATATGTTGATATAGCTAGACTTACCTACTCTGGATATTAATTTAAATTATTATCTAAAGTAAATTCTTTAGTGTATCAAAGAGTATCTTTTGGATGGTAATAAAAATACTATACTTCTAGTCTTATTCTAAGTCCAAAGAGAGTAGTTTCCATTTTCTACTCTAGGTCCAGTTCAATGAATCCAAAATCACATGGTTACCAAAGCGAACAATTAATTAAAAACTATGCCTACTGCATTTCATTTATAACGCTTTATTCTTTTTGCTATAGCATTAATGATGTAGATCTAGGCCTATTCATTAAGCCTAGTTATTTTTTGTAAATTTTCTGACAATTTTATCAATTTTCATTAAGGTACTTTACATGAATCTTCCACAGTGAGATGTAAAGAAATTTAAAATTTTCTAAATAAATAATGAAATCAAAATAAAGGTAGAATCTAAATGGCAAATATTATAAATGCAGGTTTCTAGCTGCTTCTTGGTAAAATATTTACTGCACACTTACTTGTGTTTTTATCTATACAAAAAATACAGTTTTTTTTTTAAAAGAGGAACAACATTTTTCTATTCCAAAGTGAGATATAATAAAGAAATTGTTCATTTTCTTATTTTATTTAGTCTTTTCAAACAAAGAACGAGTAAATTAGAAAATTTTGACACACTCTCTCATTATGAACCTAAATACAAGATCTTTAGAAAAACCTTTGCACATTGCTGTGAAGTACTAGTAGGCCTATGTAGTCCTACTGTCATTTAATTTTTTTTATTTTTATCCATGCAGTGTGGAATGATAAATAGCTGCACTTCTCAATCTGATCCTGTGATAAGTACTGACCAGGGACAATTTTATCAATCCAGGTACAATTTAATAAATGAATTTATGTTACTATGGTTCTTTTCTGTCAACTATAAAGCCAAATATTAAAACACTAGCCCTAAAGGTTAAAGTATCTATGAGTTAATGGGAACAGCTAACAGCAAAAAAAACATCTATACCTTCATAACTATTTTGTTCTCCAGTGTTAACTGTAATATTGGAGGGTATTTCCTCCCTACACAATTAAGTATTCCATGTCAATATGTTATGTCCCATATAAGGCTGCAGTTGTTTTATTTAAGTTCACAGCGAATCTACTTGAGGTCTCAACTTGGGACTTGTGGAGTTAGCAAATCATACTCTCTCCTGCTCTACCAAGCAGTCCCCTTATATAGCTTGTAAATTTTAAGTTCAATTTCTACCTAAAGATTGTTGAGTTAAGGTGACCTGTATCTTGTAATAATAAACTCCCCTGAATTTATTAAAGATGAGTATAATACTTTTTTATAAGATTTTAGAAATGGTACAAGATTCACTAGATGATGTGTCCAACAAGCAGTAATGATTTATGACTAAAAACCAAAGTAATTTGGTACTTGTCAAATTTTATTTAGTTGTTTGATTTTGGAGTTGTCTCTCCTGGATGATTGGCTGTCCCCAGCTATCGAGCCTCATCTGCCCGGGAGTTCAAACTCAGGACCTATTGGTTCAACAACTATGAGCTTAACTGACCCGATCCTAATACAACAGGCTTAATTCTGACCACACTATCCCTTCAAATTCCAGTTTAACTGAAAATGATTAGCTCTACTGCCCCATGGACCATAAGGTTTTGAAAGGGTACATTTTTTTTTAGTCTATCCTAGTTTAATATGTGCTGACAAGATGAGGGATGGGTATTTCAATTTTTGTTTATGTCATAAATGGAGCACCCATAGAGTAAATGGCATTATGGGCTTTCAAAAGATGTTTACATCTCTTGTATGGCACTAACTGTAGTACACCTAAGTGAAACATAAAAAGAGAGAGTAAAAGCAAAATGTTTACCCAGCCAGTGGTTGTTGATATACTATCACTACCTGATCATTTCTTGTGTATCCAACAGCTTTTCTGTTATGCATCTTTGTTGAAAGAATTTTAAAAGCTGGTTAATTTTTTATCACTTCTTAATTCTTTAGTGTGGATCTTAATTTAAACATTGCCATACTAAAAAAAAAAAGAATAGCCTGTTAAGTGCATTCTCTCTCTGTATTGAAAAATGTTTGGCAGACTTGTTTTATATTTGGTTTCTCCTCACATATCTTAACCAATTTTTGCTTTATATGTATTTTTCTTAAGTTATTACCCAATGTATTTTATTTTGTGTTAAATTACCCACATTTAAAAAATGTTAATATTTATCTCACTACCATGTGAGGTAATACTGGTAGAATCATTCATGATATATATTTTTTATGAATGATGAATAGTTATTTGCTTAAGTTACCCTTTATATTTTTAGAATAAATAAATTTGTTTGTTGATATCTCTGGGTCTGCAATAGGGATCAGGGAATAACTGGTATCATACAAAACTCTGATAGTAAAACTTTGCTGCTATCCAAAAAGACTGCCTAACTAGTTAGTGTCATCTTATGGCTATTATTATTTTTACTTATCAAACATGGAGATTTTAAGTTCCTGATTTGGGGAGCTTTAAATGTAAAAGTGTCAGATTTGTTTTTCAGTTAAAGCTACTTTCCATTCAGTTCAGTATTAAATGTTTTAGAAATGTTTATTATATTGAATGATAAAAGATAATAATATGTCAGTATAGCAGTGGCATAGCCAGGAATTAATCATAAGGGGGAGTTCAATTTTTTTCCCCCATTTTTGCATTCCATAATAAATTTTTTAATTTAATTGTCACCAATAGCTGATACAACTTGAGGCAATATTCATTTTAGGGGTTCTCTAGAACCCACCCTCCTTTATCCCACTGCCTATGCCACTGCTGATCTAAATAGGTGGCATCAATTGTTTTATAGTGTCTCTTTTTTGTTTTTTGCTTGGTAGAAAGCACGCTCAGTGACTGCAACATGCCTTCCATGAGATAGACAGCTGTCCATGGGGGTGGATTACACCCCCCTCCCCCACCTGTTTATACCACTGCAATATAATATATATATCGACTTTCTTTTTTTGTGGTTACCAAATAGCTTATGTATAATTTTCATCTAAGGATTTATCTAAGAGTGTTAGCATTTTAATTACAATCTTTTCTTGGAATTCATCACACACACAAATATTCAACATCTTTTACTGTTTCTTTCCCCATTGATTTAGGCCTTCACAACTTAAGGAATTAAAAGACCAAAAGGTCTTCAGTGGTGTTGTTTTCAAGGAGTTGATCCATGATCCAAATTTTTATTATCGCTCTGCCATAGAGATAGGAGAGGAACCTCCTTTACATGTCAATCCAATTTATAAAATAATATACCCCGGGTGTGAGACTCAGAAGCAACATAAATGAGGCTTATTAATTAATATACTTTATTTTTTATATTTTGGTAGAGGCTGTTTTTAATATACACTAACTGTATTTGTAACATTTTTTTAGTGCCTGTTTTATCTTTATCAACACATTGAATAATAACTAAGAGCTTGACTAGAATAAAGATCTACTTTTTTATGGTAAGAGCAAATATATTTTATCTAGATGGACATTAACACCATTTCGTGTCAATGAAGAGGGATACAAGAATAGATATCAAAACAGACAGCATTTGGCACCTCACTGTGATAAAGCCTATGCCATTTTGTATCCTGGATCTGAAAATAGTGATTACACTTGTCCAGAAACTCGCAAGAATCGCAGAGAAAACACCTATATTGACAGTTATGAAATATCAAAGCGGGTGAATGGACAATGACTTACTAGAATATGATGTTTGGAATCATATATAAAACAAAGCTATGAGATTACTTATAAAATACTTATTTTGTGTTAGTTATTAGCATTGTTGTTGTTTTCTTTTATTCTATTGTAGGCCTAATGATTAATTGGATCATCATTAATATTTTTTGTAGTTTATGTAACTTAAGTTTTAAAAAAAAACTTAACAGTAATTTTGAAGAAACAAACTTACTGCAAGAATTGTTTGTAATGGGGAAATATCCCTCAAGTAATAGATTATTTAATACTGCTTGTTATAACTTGTGTGTTATATATCCCATAATAATTATTAACAATTTTGTAGTTCTATTTACTACTCAATCTAGATGTTTTCAAACTTTTTGTCTAGCAGTATAATTTATTGATGTTCTTTCTATTTTATGCTTATTGAATATAAAATGCTATTCTTTAATGCTAATTAATTTTTTTTTTGCTTTATGTTCCGCATTCTGAGTCCTATTAGTTGAGTAATTATTTACCTGAATATTTATTCACCAAAATTGTCCTATTAGATTCTTATCCTACCTTTTGAAATGTGTATTCTTGTTGTTTCAATCTAATATATAAAACAAGTAGGTTACAGGGTTGCAAAACTTCATTATATATCTCAGCATATCTTAGTTGCATGTTGTTTTTGTAAGGGTGGGAATCAAATTGATTTGAATTTTTAAAAATTTGGTTTAACTCTTGTTTCTAGGGCAGTGGCAGAACAAGAAGATGAAAATGTGGAGCAATATCCATTAGCTAGTTTCAGCCAGTCTAAGAAAACTGAAAATGTTCCAAAACTTAATCCCTGCCCTCCATCATTGAAAAATATTAAAAGGGACAATATATATAAGATCCTTCATCCTCACACAGATTATTAAGGTTTCAACTATGGTTATAAACTAACATGGAGCTTCTATAAGTGACGCAGAATCCTACACTTTAAAAACTGAATAAATAAGAACAGAACTATTGATAAAATACTTGTTTATTCATTCCTTTTATTGTGTTATCCTTTGAGTTTCTTAGTATGCCTGAATAACTTTGGCCCTTAACTACAAAAAAAAATGGAACATTTGTTATATATTAGACATGGCACTGTTACTGTATTACATTTTTAACAGTATTATAAACTTTACTATTAGCAACATTGGTGCATTTTATTTTAATGTTGTGTGGATACTTCCATTACCATTCAGAATTTTATTATGTTTTATTGTTCTGCTGTTTTTAAAGATTTATATAAATCACTGTGTTTTTAATAGCTTCTCTATACTATCTTCTTTATAACTATCTGGAATTTTTAGTCATATTTTTAAATTGGTTATCTGTTGCTATTTTTTTTCTGTATTGTAGATTATTTTTAAAAATGCTCATAATATTAACAGAATTTTCAATTTTTTGTAAAAAAAATTATTTTGTGAAACAGTAATACCTTATTTATTAGAAGCATATGTTTTTTGAAACAGTAATACCTTATTTATTAGAAGCATATGTTATAAAACCATTACAACATTTGTTTACATCTTAAAAAACTGTTTGAATTTCTTGTAACTTATATTTATCTGCAGGGGTGGTTGTGTGATATTTAAATTTTGCTTTTTGGTGTACATTGAATATTTTTTTTGTACATTAGTGTTATTTGCCATACCAACGCCATAATATTTTTTTTAAAAAAGATGACTTTATTGTTGAGACATCCTTTAGTTCTGTTTTGTAAATTCTGATTCAGTAGACTTATTTTAAAACTGTTTTTGCAAATTACATCAAGAAACTGCTTTTCTTTTGTATAAGAGAGACAACTAAAATTAATTTTATCTTTTCAATTATTGTTTTTCCAAAAATTATTGTTAAAAATACTTTTTTTTAATGTATTTCAACCCTGTTGAAAGTTTACTACGTCCAAGCCTGCCAGGCTTATGGGAGTCTAACTCCTGAGCCTGTATATCCATGTCACGATTTCAACCCTGCTTATTATTATTGTCATCATTTGAATGTGTGCATGAAAATAAAAATATTAAACTAAGCATATTGTAAAAATAAAACTTTTATTTGGGAGCAGTTATAATTTTGTATTTGCAGTAAGATGTTGACATAAATGATTAGCCATTATATTCACAGAGAAAATGGTTTGTTGGTAGAGCCCAGATTTCACAGACATTGCAACCATCTGAACCAACCTGAGGACCACATCTATGCAGTCATGTATCCTGCAACTAAAAACTTTAGAGTGCCTCCAGAACTTTTACCACCTCGGAAACCTCATTTTAAAGTTTAGAACAGCAATTAATGCTTGTTGACACTGTATTTGAAATATACGTCCAAATCAAATCTGTTGTAGTTGATATCACTGTTTTATCACAAATGGCATAAGGAATAAAACAAACTGCCCCTTATTTTAATCACTAATTAATATTACTAAATTTACCCAATTAAAATGTACCTTCCATGCTAAAATATGTGTTATGAATTGTAACGGTAAATGACATACATATTACATATTAATATTTTGAAGACTGGGAATAAGCTGTTAAAATATATTTATATAAAATTTGAAATTTGATGTGATGAAATAGGACTAAAATGAAATGCCAATATTTTGCTGTTGTTGTTAAATCTTGAGTTATTGTACATTTAATTTTTGGATTTTATTTACACTATGTACATAGTCCTGTTTATTTTAGGAATGCGTGGACTGGAATTGAAGGTAACAGAAGAACATATGACCACAGTCGCCAGGGTCCAATTCTTGGCCAAACATGGCGTACTCTTGAAAGGGAAATGAGCAGTCGTGAACAAAGCCTCTGTTCTTCTCGCTGTGGAGTTCCTGTGTTTAAGTTCATGTGATACTTGATACAGGCTACAATGAATGTAGAAATAAAATGCACTATATATAGCAACTGGATAAAATGAAAATTTTACAGACCAGTTTTTGTGCACCTACTCTAATGCATCCAAATGATTTCAATTAATTTTATGCCCTGTTTAGAAATTTATTATTAGTACTTTTTACATTACCAGTATTACAGTGATTCTGTGATGTTTTTCAAACAGATCAAATTAAAATGTTACACAAGTTTTAAATCTTAGTTTTCATTTTTGAGAGTAATAAAACAATATGATGATGGCTGTGAAAGTTTGTCAAACAAAGAATTTGTAGTTGTGTTTTATTGTGTCTTAATTGAGAGGGCCAGAATTTAGAACAAATTATATTAAATTGTGGAATAATATTGAGACTACATGGCGTATATGCATTACTAAATGAAAAAAATATATGGAAGTTGGCCAAAACTAAATATAAAATAACAATATCCACCGTCTAAATTTTATTAGACTAGTGCTGCTGTGGCAACTAATAATGCCCACCTTTTCAAAACATATTTTGATTTATTTATAGATCTAGTCTGGATGATATTATTATAGCCTGAACATAATTTATTAATAATATCCGTTTCGGCATGTTCTCGTACTTTTCTTCAATTATGATTTATCTTGGTAATTGCAGAAACCTGGGCGTCGCTAACGAGAGTTCTTAAAAATATGCAAAACGTTGCCTAGCACTAGCAGGTTAGGGTACCAATATTCAACATATTGAATATAAAGTTATTACAGTACCATTTATCATTAAATGATTAAACAGTATTATATTATAATATTTTATGAATTACAATAGCCTTGGGTGGGTTACCGTATTTTAAAAAGAAATGAGTTTGAGCTGCCGTGCTATTAATTCCCCTCTGCCCTCTTCAATAAAAAATAAAAAATTGGCAATAATATTATATAGATCTATTATTATTTATTTATTTTTATTTGTTAGGATTAGGCTAATATTAGGGCTAAATAAATATTTTGGGGGCTATACTTACTTATAAGTTATTAAGTTAATGACTGGGGACTTGAAATTTAAGACTTTTAATAAGATAACATACAGTCACACCAAAAAAAAAGTTAATTAATATTTTAGGGTTGTTTTTTTTTTTTTTTAAATTTAAGCTGTAGGCCTAATCTGTAGTTTTTCTGCTGCGATTTTTTAAAACGGATATTAGGCCCCTAGAATTTTATTAAAATATATGAAAGAGTAGCCTAGATTTTATATTATTGTAGTTTGTAGGCCTAGACAGTATAAGTTATAGAATCTAGATCTAAATCTAGGCCCTATTATACTAGTAAAGGCCTTTTATTTTAGGTATAGATCTAGATCTAGGTCTCGTATTAAATAGCTTGGTTGGAGTCAATCTTGGGCCAGACAAAGAGTAGAGCCGGTATCATTATCAGCGGAACTAATCAGTAAATCAGTAATTAATAAATTATACACGATTACATTGCATTCATTAGCTGAAGGATATTTGGTTTAAGCGTTAACTATTTAGTATTGTAGGCTAGGCCTATATATGTCTTTTAAAAATAATCTTAATTAAATTTAGTAGGCCAATAATCTTTGCTAATGTTAGGTGTTGCATCTGTTGTCTATGGCAGTGACATTTCGCTATCAGTAGACCACCGAAAATCTAGGCCCTACCTACGCGCATGTTTTATTACAGAGTAGGCCTGTTATTGAGTAAGTAGATCTATAGTAGTTGACTAAAGTAGTTCTATTTTAATAATATTTAGGTATATGTATGCGAGACTCCGTAGGCCTCATTAAAATATTAAAAAGTATGTATTGTTAGCACAGGCCTACAGGCTATTTCAATGGGTCGACGATAAACGACCTTATACCCGGGGGGGGGGGGGTCGGACACAGAGTTTCTTCCAGGCATCTCTTCTGGGGGGTCGAAGCCCCCCCGAAAAATTTTTACCGCCCCCCCCCCCCCCCCCCCCCCCGAACGAAATGAAATTAATATCATTTATATAGAAAATATATACTTTTAACAGTGTCCGCCCCCCCCGAAGAAAGTTTACCGCCCCCCCGAAGATTTCAAGTGCCCCCCCCCCCCCCCCCGGAGAAAAAAGTCTGGAAGAAACACTGGTCGGACATTGTAATTGTTTAGGGAAGGAAAAAGTACGTCATTTGTTTAGGGAAGGAAAAAGTACGTCACTGTGTGACTCATTTTTTACTTGACTTAGTCCTCTTTACTCCTTGTGGAACATAGGGCCTCCACCATTTCCTTCAATTTCGTCCGATCCCCGGCTATTAATTTTTCTCCCAAGACATCCCAGTTGGCTTCAATTCTTCGATAAGACTCCGCCTCCAGGCCTGTCTTGACCCGTTTTTAGAGAGTACTTTTTAAAACCGAATATCAGTTCAGCAGTTCTTTTGCATATTTTATTTTTAAGAGTTCAATGACGAGTTAATCTTCATTAAAAAAAAACATTGGTGAAAAAATCCACGTACACGTAGAGCCAGAGATCTAATAATGTTTCCTAAGTTTAGCTAAGAAAAATCGCTGCTTCAAAAGACATAATGTTATTATTATACCTAAGTGTGATGTTTGGGTAGGTCAAAGTGTCAAAAGCGTGACTTTTAAGGACGAACATAAACGAAACCAGATCTCAAAAGAATTTGAAAATAATTTGTTGAAAATCGTAGCTGTTGTTTAGCACACAGAAAATTTGAATTTCGGACAGCCTCATCCATCACCACGAGTCCAGTTTTGACAAATCAAGTTAATGAAGTTAATGACCTCCATAAATGATCTAGCTAGTAACGTAAAGTAGCTAGACTAGGTTTTTTGACGCCATATTTTGCCTGAAAACATCGCCCCTGATCCAACATTTGTTCAATTACATTACGATTTACTAAAAAAAAATTTTTTTTTTAGAAAAGTGAAATAACGACGAAATTTTTTAAAAATCTTTGTTTACAGTTTACGAGAGGAAAGTCACACATTCGTGATGTGCGGAACATCCCACTCCACCTCGTTGTGAAGTTCCGACTAGGAATCATGTAATTTTTTTTTAAATACTTGAAATTAAGGGACGTCGGTAAATGACGTCACATCATACTTGATAATGGTTACAACTTGAATGACAGGGGTGGGGACGGTGAGAAAAGTTTACGTTGATTTTCTTTTGGTATATCTATTTGCCGACTTGGCAAAGAGGAGGCGATTTTATGATATCACTTTAAAGTAGTTTAGGGACGATGGTCTAGCTTGATGACGCAAAACAATTTAAGTAGAGGCCAATATTTAACACTAAATAATGTTAGGCCTATAATACAATTTTAGAATAACCTCGAGAAACATCTAAGCTTTACACACACACACACACACACACACATATATATAATATATATATATATATATATATATATATATATATATATATATATATATATATATATATATATATATATATATATATATATATATATATATATATAGGCCTATATAATATATATATATATATATATATATATATATATATATATAGGCCTATATAATATATATATATATATATATATATATATTATATAGGCCTATATATATATATATATATATATATATATATATAGGCCTATATAATATATATATATATATATATATATATATATATATATATATATATATATATATATATATATATATATATATATATATATAGGCCTATATAATATATATATATATATATATATATATTCTTTAACATACATGTTATATACCTGTATAAGAAATTTAAAACTTTTTGTCTTAATTATTAATCTATAGGTTTACAAATAAATACATTTTGTTGTTGCTTTCAGAAACAGTAAGAATGCAAAACACTGGTGTTCTTCAGATTATAAAAAGAGCCTCACAGAAAGTTAACAAACTCCAAAAACTCAATCACATAGCAATATCGAGAAATATCAATGGCTATCACTATCAGTCTACTAGAAGCCTTCACATACCTCTGAATGGATATTCATTTACTGACTACAATCTTGAAAAAAAAAGTTTTAGTTTACAAGTACCGAACAACTTTAACTTTGTCAAACATTTTATTGATGAGTGGGCACGCGCTGAAAGGGTAAGCCTTTACAGTTTAGTAATTGCAAATTTTAAAAAATGTTCGGCTACCTTTCCAGATCTGGTGATCCAAGAGCAGATGAAGTAGAGTTTACCTGATTCTGTGACCTTTGTCATATGAAGAGTGTGGTCAGCACTATGCCAAGCCACCTTTCCTTAAGGTGAGTCAAGTACTAATCAGAGCTGAGTTGACTCAGGGACATCTTACAGACTTGAGCCCTGGATTCAAACTCGAGACAGCCATGTGTCCAACCATCCGACCTTGCAATCTCACAGTAATTAAAAATTAAATTAGTTTATACAAAATTCCAAACTGCCCAAATCTTAATCATTTCAGCAATTTTAATTTTATAACTTGCTTTGAAGGGAGCTGTAGTTTAATCAAACTTTTGATTATAGCTAGGGCTCAGGAATACATCAAATCCAGCACTCTGGTGGGTCAACGCTAATTCCAAAAAAGAAATAAAATTCTCTTTTCAACAACTTTCTGAACACTCCCAAAGGTACTTTTTTTTATTCATTTTATTTTATTATTAAAATTTTATTTTATTAAATTAAGCTATTCAAACAAATTTTTTTTAAAATATATTTGATATTCGTTAAGTATTATAATCATTGACTAAAAGCTTGTTACATTATTATTAAACTTATTAGTAAATATTTATGTTAAATGTAAATTACAATTTACAGTAGGCCTAATTAACTAATTTAATTTCTTTTAGAATCGCCAATGCCTTAACTATGGGATGTGGTTTAAAAAGACAAGACAGAGTTATTATTATATTGCCTAAAGTGCCCGAATGGTGGCTTATCTTCCTGGCATGTATTAGAGCAGGTAAATAAATACAATAAATAATCTCTTAACTTATATTATTTAGAACTGAAGCCAACAGGGATGTCTTGGGAGACAGCAAAATTAATAGCCGAGGATCGGATGAAATGGAAGGAAATGGTTGGGGCCCTTTGTTCCATAAGGAGCAAAGAGGACAAAGTCAAGTCAACTTAGATTATTTGTCCTCACTGAAGAAATATAAACACAGATTCCACATTACTTAACTAATATAGTTTAACAGCATTAGCAGCTAATCTAGGCACATAATTTTGAGTTCTGTTTTTAGTGTGTCCTGATATTAAAGCATTATGCTGAAACGACTTTCCTCAACAAATAATTCTAAATACCTTTATATTTATTTTCTTTTAGGCTACTGCATTATTATTTATAAATATTATAAACAAAAGAGGTGTAAAATGTTAGCTTAATCTACCAATTTTTACCTGGACACTTCCTTATCTTTACAGACTTAACAGTTTGTCCTGGCACAATGATGCTTAAAACTTATGATGTAAAACACAGACTAGAACTGTCAAAGGCCAGCTGTATTATTACAAGTCCTGAACTAGTTTCATGTGTGGACCAGGTTAGTTAACTACAAGGTCTGAGCTAGTTGCATTTTATTTACACATTTTTTCTTTCTTTCTTTAGGTGTTTAGTAGTCATTATTCTAAACTCCTTAAATAAATTATTCTAGTTAGGGGTCATCCATAAATGACGTCACACTTTTTTTGACGATTTTTACCTCCCCCCTCCCCTCCGTCACACATCGTCACAAAAAGACAGACCCCCCCCCCCCTAAAATGACGTCACACCTCAACCTACAACCCACCTCAAAATTGCAGTTGAATTTTTTTTAAACATCGATATTTTTCCAAATTCTTGTCTGAACTATGTTAAAATAGAGTTTTTTAATCAATTCCTATTACAATTTATTAAAACAGTTTTCTAAAACGTGAAATAACATCTAAAATTAGTTTTCTAACATTGCTTTTTTATAATTCAAAAGTGTGACATCGCACCATCAGACCCCTCCTCCCCCTCATCACACACCGTCATTTATGGACAACCCCTTATTCTAGTGAATCTCGTCAGTTAGTAATATAAGTAATATAGATCTAGTATTTTTACTATATTTAATTATTATTTTAATAGTTGCAATAAATTTTTACTATAGGTTTAGAGTAAACTTTAGTTTAACAGTCCCATAGCATATCGCATATTAAAAACCATTAACAAAAAAATAAAATACAGTTTTCTAGACTATAATTTAAATATAATATTTAAATATATATATATATAGTATTTAAGATATGTATCTATGCAGGCAAGTCAAGAATGTGAACATTTAAAAACCAAAATAGTTGTTGGTGACAAAGAAGAAACAAGGTAATTAATACAAAGTTTTATTTCAAAATGATTTTGGTTTATTTTTTGGTTTGTAAAATTTAAAAAAGATTTTATTGAGTCTAAATTATCCCTGCTTCTGTAGACCTGGTTGGTTAAATTTTGATGCTCTTGTTGAAAAAGCTGGGAATCAATTCCAGGTATGTGAAAATACATTTGTTTTTGTTTTTATTTATATTTTAAATAAAATTAATGAATTTTATTCTTCAGTTAGGCAAAAAATGTGAAAGCTATATTTCCTCTTTTTTTTACATGTGAAATTTCTGGAAAGTAAATGAATCACACGTTGCAGTTATACTTTCTATTTGAAATAACTTTTCAACAGATTAACTTGTTTGCTAATTTTTAAAAATTGATTTTTAAATTTAACCTATAATTATAAATATTACTTATGGGGTCATTGATAAATGATGTCATGCTTTTATTGATTATTTTTATACCCCCCCCCCCTTGATCTTGTAAATAATTTGTAACACATATCAGTATTCACCAAGGGATATATGTAAATACAAAAATTGTTTAACATTTTAAAACACATTAAAACTTAATATTAATATCAGCAGGTTTTTTTTAATAATTGAAAAAAGATTAATATAATTGTAAATAAACATCTTAATCCATTGGTCAGCTGTCATCAGTTTTGTTAACTGTTGTTTTGGTATTCTGAATAATTTGATATCTGATTTGGGCATGTTATTATTTTCTACATTTACCAGTGTGTGAACACTAAGGCCTCGGATCCTATGATGATATTTTTTACAAGCGGGACAACGGGAGCACCCAAAATGGCTGAACATACACATTCCAGCTATGGACTGGGACACATTACATCTGCTCGGTATTTATACATGTTAATTTTCTATCTGCATCATATATTTAATTTTCTGATTTGGTTCTGCAACTCATCTTGGCTAGAGTTAAAAAATTAATGTTAATTAATTTCTTAGGAAATCTCTCTTTTAAAGTTAGGCACTAAAATCATATTTTCCTGTTTGTGTGCAAGACACAAGGGGTACATGAAGTAGAGTTCATCTGTTTCATTGACCTCAGCAATCAAGTGGATAGTGTTGTTGGAACTATACCCAGCCGACATTGTTAGCCCTAATGTGAGTTAGGTACCCATCAGAGCTGGGGTGATGCAGGGACATTCTACTGACTTGAACCCGGATTCTAGCTCAAGACTTTTGGGTTTGCAGTCTAGCACTCTAACATGTCTATAGCCACTAAAATAATCATCTTTAATGGTTCAATTAATGGGGACGGGGTGGCAGAGCGATAGAGAGCTAGACAGCAAACCCGAAAGTCTCGAGGCCAAATCTGGGTGCAAAGTCAGTAGAATGTCCCTGACTCCACCCATCTATGATGGGTACCTAACTCTCGTTAGGGAAATTAAAGGTAGCTGGGCATAGTGCCGATCCCACTATCCCTTCATAGGCAGAGGTCACAGAAACAGGTGAATTCTACTTCACCTGCCCCATAGATCGTCATGTCTCAAAGGGAACTTTACTTACTTTTACTTTACTTACATTAATTGTCAAACTTAAGGTCAGGTATTTTTTAATGGTTCCATTAACTGTCAAACTTCAGGTATTTTTAATGGTTCCATTAACTGTCAAACTTCAGTTATTTTGTAATGTTTCCATTAACTGTCAAACTTCAGGTATTTTTTAATGGTTCCATTAACTGTCAAACTTCAGGTATTTTTTAATGGTTCCATTAACTGTCAAACTTCAGGTATTTTTTAATGGTTCCATTAACTGTCAAACTTCAGGTATTTTTTAATGGTTCCATTAACTGTCAAACTTCAGGTATTTTTTAATGGTTCCATTAACTGTCAAACTTCAGGTATTTTTTAATGGTTCCATTAACTGTCAAACTTCAGGTATTTTTTAATGGTCAACTCTGAGAGTGTCATGTGGAACTTGTCAGACACAGGCTGGGCCAAAAGTGCCTGGTCATCATTCTTCAGTCCTTGGATCATGGGGGCGTGTGTGTTTGTCTACAGCGCTGAAAGATTTGACCCTACGGAAACATTACAGGTCAGGGGATCATTTTTATCTTCCAAAATAAAGGGGACTGCCTGCTCAAGTTGTAGAGTGATCTGCTGGTAACACAAAGGTCTTGAGTTTGGACCTTGGTCCACATTGAGTCTGCAGGACATTACTGAGTTGACACAACTCTTGGTGGGTACCTAACTGACAATAGGGAAAGTAAAAGCATCTGGACATAGTGCTGACCACATTATCCCTTCATATGCCAAGGTCAGGAAACAAATGGACCCTACTTTATCTGCCCTATGGATCATTGAATCTGAAAGGGAAACTTTTACTTTACTTTACTTTATTTTACTTTACTTTATTTTACTTTACTTTATTTTACTTTACTTTACATACTTTACTTTACTTTACTTTACTTTACTTTACTTTACTTTACTTTACTTTACTTTACTTTACTTTACTTTACTTTACTTTACTTTACTTTACTTTACTTTACTTTACTTTACTTTACTTTACTTTACTTTACTTTACTTTACTTTACTTTACTTTACTTTACTTTACTTTACTTTACTTTACTTTACTTTACTTTACTTTACTTTACTTTACTTTACTTTACTTTACTTTACTTTACTTTACTTTACTTTACTTTACTTTACTTCACTTCACTTCACTTCACTTCACTTCACTTCACTTCACTTTACTTTTTCTTACTTTACCTTACTTTACTTTACTTTACTTTACTTTCAAAATCTATTATAAAATACTCTTACAAATATACTAAAGTTGACCATCAACCAATTAAGTGTATTGTGAACTGTAATATAAAATATTTGATAATCACCATATAAAGTTAACTATGAAGTGAACGTATTAACAAGGAAACTGAAACGTAGCACTGACATGCTGTGACAGTTGCTTTAAAACTTTCTCTATGACCAGGTGTTATCCAGGTATCCTGTGACCCACTTCTGTAGCTCCCCCACTGGCCTGAGAATGATACTGGCACAAAATTTGAGGAACACAAAATTTCTCGCTCTGCGTCGCTGCCTTGGGGCAGGAGAACCAGTCGTAAGTTACACTTGTGGTAGCTAACGCCCTGCTGACCCCTACACTGTACTCACATTTGTATCAGGTCACTTTAACCCTTCAATATTACACTTTTGGTACCTAACGCCCTGCTGATCCCTACACTGTACTCACATTTGTATCAGGTCACTTTAACCCTTCAATATTACACTTTTGGTACCTAACGCCCTGCTGATCCCTACACTGTACTCACATTTGTATCAGGTCACTTTAACCCTTCAATATTACACTTTTGGTACCTAACGCCCTGCTGATCCCTACACTGTACTCACATTTGTATCAGGTCACTTTAACCCTTCAATATTTTTTGTGTCATCAACTTAAAAATATTTGTTTGTTCTCCATTAGGGATTGAGTCATCATGTGGTTAATTGTAAATCTAAAATGTTAAAACTCCAATTAAAGCAGAGTTTGACGTGTGATATAGTTACATCATCAGGTTTTAGATAGTATCCGCATGCTTTGGCAACAAAACTCGTGGATTTCTCGTCTCAGTGTTGACTGATAATTGTTGTGTCAGTTTTTTTACTAGATTATTTATCCCATACAATATAAAGTTTTTATTTGCATTAAAAATTATATTATATCAAAATAAGTTACACTTTTTACATTCAAATTGATTAATAAAAAGTCATATTATAACAGAATTAGTAAAAAAAATGTACAAGTACTAATAAAAAAAAATGTAATCTCCCCAGAACCCTGAGATCATGGAACACTGGCGGAGGGAAACTGGGCTCACAATTTACGAAGGTTACGGGCAAACAGAAACAGTAAGTAACCTACAACAATTTGTCTTACTAGTAAGAAGATGGGGCTTTTAACTTCATCTTTTTAATGTAGCTGATAACACATTTCATAGGATTGCTGTTGTTTTTTTTTTAAAATTAAATTCAAATGTTTTTTTTTTTAAATATTTAGTATGCCCTACTCCTGTAATGCTATGGATATTAACAATATAAAACAATCACCAATCACATTATGAATACTTTATTGATGTCACTAACCAATGAATACGTTACTGATGTTACTAACCAATGAAATCGCAGACTTTGGTGTGCAGCAGTTACAACTGTATACGTTACAAGCCAGGCTCTATGGGGAAAAGTTCTCCAGAACTTGATGTACGGATTGTTGATGACGATGGTCGTGTTGTTGACCCTGGCGTAGAAGGAAATATTGCTCTACGAACCAAACCTTATCGCCCTATAGGTCTATTTAAGCAATATGTGGTATGACTTGCTATATCAATCAGTGTTTGGTTTTATTTGTTGTGATTTTTTAAATTTTATTCTGGCCTTTTTTCCCCTGAGAAAAATTGCCATAATTTGTTATCCTTACGTGTTTTTCCCATATGATGCAAATTGTAGTCTGTGTTGTGTCTAAAAGGTGAAAGGTTATGTCACCACTTGAGTGGGTCAGAGTTCACCCAGCACTTGCTGGCTAGAAATATTCCCTTTTTTTCTGAGGAGTCTACCGGCCAAGCCACATTGTTCTAGTCTCCTCAACCAATTTTCTTCCATTACTTTGTCTCACTATAATGTCTTAAACAAAAAGATGATGAAACTTAATACTTGGATATCTTATAAAAATATAAATAACCTTGAGATGTAACTTAAATCAATGTTTCAATACTGTTAGATAATAATGGTTTCATACATTTTTACACAAAGGATTTTTTTAACTAGATTGTTTACTTTGTGATATTTTTTTTACAATTTGTCATGTTTTAGCTAATGGGTTATAATTAGACCAACTCTAAAATATTTCCTTAGAATGATCCAGTAAGGACGGCAGCCGCATTCCGCGGAGATTTCTATATCACTGGTGATCGTGGCTACATGGACGAGGAGGACTATGTTTACTTTGTGGGCCGGGCGGATGATGTCATAAATTCTGCTGGGTCAGTGAAGTGTGTGAGGTTAACCCAAAAGTGTTAGGTTAACACAAAAGTGTTAGGTTAACACAAAAGTGTAGGGTTAACCCAAAAATGTGTAGGGTTAACCCAAAAGTGTGTAAGGTTAACCCAAAAGTGTGTAGGGTTAACCCAAAAGTGTGTGTACGGTTAACCTAAAATTGTGTGTAAGGTTAACACAAAAGTGTATGGTTAACCCAAAAATGTGTAGGGTTAACCCAAAAGTGTGCAAGGTTAACCCAAAAGTATGTGTAAGGTTAACCCAAAAGTGTGTGTAAGGTTAACCCAAAAGTGTGAGGTTAACCCAAAGTGTGTGAGGTTAACACAAAAGTGTAAGGTTAACCCAAAAGTGTGAGGTTAACCCAAAAGTGTGTGAGGTTAACACAAAAGTGTAAGGTTAACACAAAAGTGTGTGAGGTTATCACAAAAGTGTAGGGTTAACCCAAAAATGTGTGAGGTTAACACAAAAGTGTAAGGTTAACACAAAAGTGTGTGAGGTTATCACAAAAGTGTAAGGTTAACCCAAAAGTGTGTGAGGTTAACACAAAAGTGTGTTTAAGGTTAACCCACAAATGTGTATGGTTAGCCCAAAAGTGTGTGTAAGGTTAACCCAAAAGTGTGTGTAAGGTTAACCCAAAAGTATGTGTAAGGGTAACCCAAAAGTATGTGTAAGGGTAACCCAAAAGTGTGTGTAAGGTTAACACAAAAGTGTGTGAGGTTATCACAAAAGTGTAGGGTTAACCCAAAAATGTGTGAGGTTAACACAAAAGTGTAAGGTTAACACAAAAGTGTGTGAGGTTATCACAAAAGTGTAAGGTTAACCCAAAAGTGTGTGAGGTTAACACAAAAGTGTGTTTAAGGTTAACCCACAAATGTGTATGGTTAGCCCAAAAGTGTGTGTAAGGTTAACCCAAAAGTATGTGTAAGGGTAACCCAAAAGTATGTGTAAGGGTAACCCAAAAGTGTGTGTAAGGTTAACCAAAACGTGTACAAGGTTAACCCAAAACTGTGTGTAAGGTTAACCCAAAAGTGTGTTGCCATGGGAATTGTTGTAGCAGCCGTATGATGATTTGCACAGTGATTTATTACAGTTAATGGTTGGTCGATATATTTGTTTATACATCCAAACATTTTCATAAATCTGAATGAAAGGAGTCGGCTTTTTGATGATACGGCTGAGTTTTTTAACAGGCTGTTAAGGTATTTTAAATAAAATATTTATTAACATTTTACTTACCTCCTCTACTCCATACGACATTTCCTACCATTATTTTCCCTCGTATTTTACTATTTTTGCATATTTTAGTTCCATTTCACAAATCATTATACGATTTAATGCTACAAAGATTGTGTGATGTTTGAAATAAGTTATCATTATTACATAATTTTAAAGCAGTGGTTCTTAACCCTTTTGAGGTACCGAACCCCACTGGTTTCTTATGCGCATTCACGGAACCCTTCTTAATAGCTCTATCATCTGTACTGACAAAATCCAATCGTGAATAATTTGAGTCGGGCGTGTCTTGACCTCCATTGAACCCCTGAGACCTACTCATCAAACTTCTGGGGTTGATCCAACCCATGCTAAGAACCACTGTTATAGAGAGTGTCACTTGTTTCAGAAAACTTGTTTTAGAAACAAATGTATAGCCTTATTTAAAGAAATTATGGTTATGACAGTTGTGTCAACTTACTCATCCAGTCAGTCTAAATGGGAGAAAGGTAGCACAAACTTGAGCTAAAAAAAAATCAAACTTTGACCATAGGATTACCAACTCTGGTTTCCTTTTGGCAGCATCTGTGACTCTGCTGATTCCAAGCTGTACAGGTAACGTCCTGTCTCTTGGGTCCATCAGCTGTGTGGAGGGAAGGTGTCTGATACATGGGCAACATCTGGCTCTTTTTATTTACTGCCCAGGCTTTGTGCTTGGATTCCCAATGCGCAATCATCCAATTGTCTATTGGACTACGGAGATTTACCACCCCCTTCAACATTGTATAACATTATCACATGATGGTAAACCACCCTGTATGCCCTTTGTGTTAAATCATCATGTCATCAACTTTTCCCATTTGTGCCTTGAACATATGGGAAGATGAAGTAGAGTTCATCTGTTTCAGAACCTCAGCATATGAAGGTATAGGGTGATCAACACTATTCCCAGCTACCTTTGCTTTCCCTAACATGATTTAGGTACCCATCAGAGCTGGGTAGACTCAGGGATGTTCTACTGACATGAATCTGGATTAAAACGCAAGATTTCCAGGTTAGCAGTCTAGCTCTCCACCGCCTAGCCATGCCGTCCCATCTGTGTTATATAAGATAAGGATAATTCCTACATTGTGTTACCAAAAATGTTTTGTGTGATCCAGTTACAGGATTGGTCCATTTGAGGTTGAGAGTGTTTTGTTAGAGCACCCAGCCGTCCTAGAGTCAGCTGTTGTGAGCAGCCCAGATGAGCTCAGGGGAGAGGTGAGCTGACATTTGTAGCTCTCTAACTCTGAGAGAAACAAACTTTCAGGAAAACACTGAGCACCATGCTAACACAAATAGCTAACTTAACCTTTTTTTTCACCATTTAGGCACATTTTTTTTTATATTGAGTAATTTTTATACAAGCTCTAAATATAAAATGAAACGAAGAAAAATTATTATTCTTTATTTTTAAAAGAAAATATTAGTGGCATAGACAGGAATTTGTCGTAGCCATAGGGGAGAGGGAATTTACACATTTTCCCCATTTGTATATATTTATCTATATAGGTTGTGGAATATAAAAGTTTAGCACAAATTATCCACTATATTACCTCAGGTTGTGAAAGCTTTTGTTACCACAAATTATCCACTATGTTACCTCAGGTTGTGAAAGCTTTTGTTACCATAAATTACCCACTATTGTTACCTCAGGTTGTGAAAGCTTTTGTTACCATAAATTATCCACTATGTTACCTCAGGTTGTGAAAGCTTTTGTTACCATAAATTATCCAGTATTGTTACCTCAGGTTGTGAAAGCTTTTGTTACCATAAATTACCCACTATGTTACCTCAGGTTGTGAAAGCTTTTGTTACCATAAATTACCCACTATGTTACCTCAGGTTGTGAAAGCTTTTGTTACCCTGGCACCCGAGTACAAGAGCAGAGACCCTGATGAGCTGGTTCTAGAATTACAAAATCATGTGAAGAAATCCACCGCTCCATATAAATATCCCAGAAAGGTAACATTTAATTTTTCAAGAATCAATTTCATAAAACTCGCAAATGTCAGACTTAATTTTTGTTTTAGTTACATAAATTAAAATCAGCACAAATATTTTGTTATTTTTAAAGGTACAGAGTATTCAAAATACCTAGAATCATAGATGATAATATTTTTTCTTCTTCTTAGTTCTATATTGTAATACTGGAAGGGATTCCCTCCAACACAATAAAGAATATTTTCTCATTATTTTAAAAGAATTCTCTCTACACTGTTTTTGTGCTGATTTCTCCAATTGTTTTTATATTCCAATTTTCTTTTCCCCCAGATTGAGTTTATTGATGAATTACCAAAGACAGTCAGTGGCAAGATACGACGAGTTGAATTAAGAAATAAAGAATGGCAAAGTGCTCTGAATCCCCCACCAAGTCTTTCAACTTGAAGTGTGATTTCCCTTTTTTTGACTTTAACTATCTTTCAGGTATTTTGAAAACTAATCTTTTCATTGTAATGTGAATTTGTTTATTTTTACTTTAACTTCAATTATGTGAAAGCTCAAAAAATTTTATTGTATTATTATATAATCATGTTATGAAATATTTCAACATATTACTTTGATGTTACTGTTGTATCTGTTATAGGGCCTATATACAATCAGTTTTACTATATACACAATTATAATCTATGCAGTATACAATATCCACATATTTTGTCACATATAATTGTCATGGCCTTGCTCCACATTGTGATCTGTTTACTTCTCTGCCCTACACATACGTATGTGTACGTGTGGACATTTGGTTTATGTCTCCATCATCATCATTCCATATGGTCCCCTTGTGAAGGATAGGGGCACAACCATACCTCTTCATCCAGCTGCTTCTGCTTCACTGAGAAGCTGACCTTTTCTATGTTTGTTTTGGCCTAAGTACTTTGATTTGGGACTCCAATCTAGTGCCTGGTGATGTTGCTAGTTGGTTTACTCAGGGTGTCCAATCCATCCTCATTTCTGCTTCTGTATTTTTTTCTCTCTTCATCACCAACCTTTATGTACTTTTATAAAGATGTATCAAGACCCAGGAGGGATAATCTGGTCAGGTGGTAGAGCATAGAATTACTAAAACTAAAGTTTAAAGTTCCATTCTAGGGGTTGAGTTGGTAGAATGTCCATGAGTCCACCCAGCTCTGATGGGTACCTAACTCAAGTAAAGCAGCTGGGCGTACTGCTGACCACACCATCCCATATTTCGAGTCACAGAAGGAGGTGAACTCTACTTCACTTGCCCCATAGATCGTCAGGTCTGATGAAGCAGATGGGGCAGATGAAGAGTTCATATGTTTCAACACACTGCCCAGTCACCAGGGACGTTCTACTGATTTGTCCCCGAGATTCAAACGTGAGACTGTCGGGTTACCCCTATACTGCTAGGCTACATCGCCCCTTGGTGTTATTATAATGTTCTTCATTTTAGGTAGGCATTGCCTAAAATTAACATAAGCCTAAAAATAGACTTTTTAAAACATCTCATATTACTCAAATATTATATATTTTTTTACTTAATAAGAATTTTTACAATCTATTTCTGTGTCAAATAACACTTTACAATCTATTTCTTTCTAAGTTAAACAGAACGTGTTGAACTGTTATGGCTTATTTCTTATTGTTAATAAACAGCAAATATTGAATGTGAAGTTTTTGTGAGTTTTTTCAGTCACATACTTGTTTAGAGAGGGTGGGAAGTTTGGACCCACGAGGGGAAAGGTTCTCAAAATGTGGGTCCATTGTTGTGTGTGAATCGAGAAGTTCCGTGCACAGCTTCATCATTCAAAGGTTGAACTTGCCCTGGCTTTTGGACACCACATGATCAAGTGTGTGAGGGTAAGTGTGGTGTGGCCGGGGAAAAAATAGGACAATGAAAACAACACAAATAAAATGTAGATAGGACAATGAAAACAACACAAATAAAATGTAGATAGGACAATGAAAACATACAAATAAAATGTAGATAGGACAATGAAAACAACACAAAATGTAGATAGGACAATGAAAACAACACAAATAAAATGTAGATAGGACAATGAAAACAACACATAAAATGTAGATAGGACAATGAAAACAACACAAATAAAATGTAGATAGGACAATGAAAACAACACAAATAAAATGTAGATAGGACAATGAAAACAACACAAATAAAATGTAGATAGGACAATGAAAACAACACAAATAAAATGTAGATAGGACAATGAAAACAACACAAATAAAATGTAGATAGGACAATGAAAACAACACAAATAAAATGTAGATAGGACAATGAAAACAACACAAAATGTAGATAGGACAATGAAAACAACACAAAATGTAGATAGGACAATGAAAACAACACAAATAAAATGTAGATAGGACAATGAAAACAACACAAATAAAATGTAGATAGGACAATGAAAACAACACAAAATGTAGATAGGACAATGAAAACAACACAAAATGTAGATAGGACAATGAAAACAACACAAATAAAATGTAGATTGAACAATAGAAAAAATATAATATAAGAGAACGAGATCAACTTGTGGACCAAACTATATAATAATGGGGGGGGGGGGGATTTTTGTACGTCATGAGGAGAGGGTAGCTGACACGGGGAGGGGGAGGTAACTAGTCAACACACAAGTAAGGACATGTTGAGGGGGGGGGGGTGTCGTAAATAAACAAACATGCGAGTACAGCCGCTTATGTTTGAGAACCTTTGTAACTATTTTATACACTAGCACGGCTAATGATCCAAGTGTGACGACTAAACCACTGGGCAATAGATCAGTTGGTAATGCGGCCAACGGATCAGTCGGCGCGGACAATGCATGAGTTGGTGGTGCATCACTCTAAACATCATTGCTTTGTAACACTGCACACGACACTACGACTTTAATGTTGCTAATAAACAGATGTTGCATCATACATTTAAAAAAATTCGATTAGACATTTGCTTTTATTTTTATTATGTCTGCCACGTAATGATGTATTTATTAATAGAATATTAGTCAATTACATCAATAAAAATTCCCCGCAGTCGATGATTCATAAAATCTCCTAAATATATAGGCCTATATATATATATATATATATATATATATATATATATATATATATATATATATATATATATAGGTATATATATATAAGCATATATATGTCTATATATATCACAGGTTTTCGGTGAACGCTAACGGTGGTTTAATGACTAAGTGTAAGAAAAAAGGGGCTTTGACTAATCTTAAGACAACGGGGCTTTGTCTAAGAGTAAGACAGCGGGGCTTTGACTAAATGTAAAAGGGCGGGGCTTTGACTAAGTTTAAGACAACGGGGTCTTGTCTGTAAGACAACGGAGTTTTGACTAAATGTAAGACAACGGAGTTTTGACTAAATGTAAGACAACGGAGTTTTGACTAAATGTAAGACAATGGAGTTTTGACTAAATGTAAGACAACGGAGTTTTGACTAAATGTAAGACAACGGAGTTTTGACTAAATGTAAGACAACGGAGTTTTGACTAAATGTAAGACAACGGAGTTTTGACTAAATGTAAGGCAGCGGGGCTTTGACTAAGTGCAGAGGCGTAGCGACCCTTCCCGGCGCCCGGGGACAAACTTTTCGATTTGCACCCCCCCCCCCCCTCGAGATTTTGATTTTTGATTTGCACCCCCCCCCCTCAAACTTTCAATTTGCACCCCCCTCAACCTTTCAATCTATTTTTCCAACCCATTTTGGCGCCCCCTAAGCTCGGCGCCCGGGGACATATGTCCCCCCCCCCCGCCCCCCCCCCCCCCCTCGCTACGCTACTGACTAAGTGTAAGACAACGGGTCTCCAACTAAAGTAGCTTTGAGTGAAGGAAGGCGAGACCATTAAGACATTTATCTACCCATTTTCGTAATCTTAAACTAAGGCTTTTTTTTTTGTGGTCGACTGCAAATGATGGTCGCAGGTAATGGTCGGAAAAAGATTGAAAGTGTAAGTCGGAAAATAAAAAGTGGACAATGATTGTTTAGGCATGATTTGTATAATTTAAAAAATGAAGAAATGTGTAACAAGGGAAAATTTTACTGAGAAATTGTAATAATTAACAGAAAATCACTTAGCATGACAGATGCGGTCCACATATGTAGATGGAGCGACAGGGGACACCATTCAATTCGTGTACCTTTTATCTGAGGAAGAATGCCAGCTTCAATTATTGTTTGTCATGTCAGTCTTTGTCAACGCCGGCCTTTCGTCAATCGGCCATATATTGACCTTTGTGCTTGTTGTGCAATCGGTCTGTATGTTTGGTTATATCGGCCTCTTTTCCTTGTCGGCTTTTTATCCATGCCGATCTTTTATCTATATCTAATTTTATCCATGTCGGTCCTTACCATAAACTTAGCATTGTTTTGAAGGCATTGTGTACTTGTGTATATGGCTATAATAAGTTTTAATAGTTTATTTATCTGCATTATTTAAACTAAATTTCTTCAATTTAGAATAAATATGCCTAATTGATATTAAATTGCTAACTTTTAATAAACGACAGAGTTCATTACGTACATCAAGCATTTAATTTTAGAGGCTAAATTTTTGCATGTATAAAAAATGCCTAATCTTTTTCCTGAGTCGATTGTAATTATCTCGCTGCCTTTTTATGTACACTTTTTAATAAGTTAAATTTTAAAGACTCTCCAACCAAACTGTGCGCGTTGTTGACATATTTCGTCATACGAAGAGGCGTGAAACGTCAGCGTCGGCAAGGCAACGGGCTGATCGGCTTTGTTGCTATTCGGTGCCAAATAACAAAAAGAAAATCGTGTTGATGAAAGTATATTAAAACAGATAAAGAAAAATGGCTTTTGTTTTTAGAAATGCTGTTCGGAGTTCAAAGCTGGTGACACAGGCTTCGCGATCTTTTTCTAGCAACGCCACCAAATTCGGTCCCATCAAAAAGCGACTTGTTGTTGTCGGCGTTGGAGTTGTTGCTGTGTCAACAGGGGTGTATTTCAACTACGATAAGGTAAATTCACTTTTAAGCTTATTTAGTTCCAAATTCGTCGTCAAAGCTGGACGTAATGAAGAAAAAGGTCCCTGCAAGTTAAAAGTGTCCAAACCCTGCGGCCAAAAGCAACAACAGAAAAAGAAAGAATGTTGCGAATACCAGCCGAACATCATTTCGCCTGTCAAAACAAACTCGCTGTTCTTGTGGATTACCCTGGAACCCGGGGCGGACCCTGCTGCTGTTGCCTGCTCGGCTGTTCGACTGGAAGAAGCGATCGAAGCCTCCAAGAACCCGTGTGGGTGCAATGACGAGATTGTGGCCGGTGTGGGCTTCGGGCCCAACTTCTACGCCCAGGTGATGGGCCAAAGTTGCGGGAAGAACTTCGCCTACCGCAGTAGGAAAGGAAAGAACGGCGAGATGCCTTGCACCGACGGCGACATATTCGTGCACGCCAAATGCGACAACCGCGGCCAACTGTTTGACTTCTGCAAGCACTACATGCACGGGTTTCCAGAGTGTAGCATTCTGGAATTTGCTGACGATTACGGGTAAGTTAAGTTTACTTTGTGTTAGCCTTTTTAATGACATGTAGATCTAGATCTAGATGTAGATAAGTTTTTTTTTTGTAGTATAACACAGCTACAGTTGACTTAGCGTGTCAAGCATGCTTAAAGTAAATACTAGTGTGGGTTTCAACGGCTATCAAACATCAAGCGATATGTGGAGGCCGTTGAATAATACCTAGGTAAAAGGTGACTGCGAAATCCAAAGGTAATAGTTCAAGGTCATCACACACTGGGGTGTACCCTTTCGCACCTGGGGTTCAATAAGACAGATGAAGTAGAGTTCACCTGTTCCTGTGACCTCAGTAAATGAGAGTGGTCGGCTTTGCCTTCATCGCCCTTAACCAAAGGCAGGTCTCTACATCAGAGTTTGGTGAACTCTGGGACATACAATGGCCTATTAGGGTGTAGCCTAACAATGGCATACTATGGTGAGCCTAACAATGGCATACTATGGTGTAGCCTAACAATGGCAGATTATGGTGTAGCCTTAAATTGGCAAACTATGGTGTAGCCTTACAAAGGCATACTATGGTGTAGCCTAACAATGGCATACTATGGTGTAGCCTTACAAAGGCATACTATGGTGTAGCCTAACAATGGCATACTATGGTGTAGCCTTACAAAGGCAGATTATGGTGTAGCCTTACAATGGCAGATTATGGTCCAGCCTTATAATTACATACTGTGGTGTAGCCTTATAATTACATACTATGATCTAGCATTAATAACATACGATGAAGCGTTACAATGATATATTTTGGTATAGCTTTACAATAACGAACTATAGTGTAGCCAAAGGTTGACAGATTGAGTGGCCTTACTTTACATTGACAGACTACAGGGGAGTCTTACAATTACATAACTTGGTGTAATCTTACATTGACAGACTAAAGTGGAGTCTTACAATTACATAACTTGGTGTAATCTAACATTGACAGACTTTGCTGCAGGCTGTATTAGTACAATGGCAGATATACAATGATGATAGACTGGGGTTGTGTAGTCTCACTAGGATAGACTGGGGTTGTGTAGTCTCACTAGGATAGACTTGGGTTGTGTAGTCTCACTAGGATAGACTGGGGTTGTGTAGTCTCACTAGGATAGACTGGGGTTGTGTAGTCTCACTAGGATAGACTGGGGTTGTGTAGTCTCACTAGGATAGACTAGGGTTGTGTAGTCTCACTAGGATAGACTGGGGTTGTGTAGTCTCACTAGGATAGACTAGGGTTGTGTAGTCTCACTAGGATAGACTTGGGTTGTGTAGTCTCACTAGGATAGACTGGGGTTGTGTAGTCTCACTAGGATAGACTGGGGTTGTGTAGTCTCACTAGGATAGACTGGGGTTGTGTAGTCTCACTAGGATAGACTGGGGTTGTGTAGTCTCACTAGGATAGACTTGGGTTGTGTAGTCTCACTAGGATAGACTGGGGTTGTGTAGTCTCACTAGGATAGACTGGGGTTGTGTAGTCTCACTAGGATAGACTTGGGTTGTGTAGTCTCACTAGGATAGACTGGGGTTGTGTAGTCTCACTAGGATAGACTGGGGTTGTGTAGTCTCACTAGGATAGACTGGGGTTGTGTAGTCTCACTAGGATAGACTGGGGTTGTGTAGTCTCACTAGGATAGACTGGTGTGTACTCTCACTAGGATAGACTTGGGTTGTGTAGTCTCACTAGGATAGACTTGGGTTGTGTAGTCTCACTAGGATAGACTGGGGTTGTGTAGTCTCACTAGGATAGACTGGGGTTGTGTAGTCTCACTAGGATAGACTGGGGTTGTGTAGTCTCACTAGGATAGACTGGGGTTGTGTAGTCTCACTAGGATAGACTGGGGTTGTGTAGTCTCACTAGGATAGACTGGGGTTGTGTAGTCTCACTAGGATAGACTGAGGTTGTGTAGTCTCACTAGGATAGACTGGGGTTGTGTAGTCTCACTAGGATAGACTGGGGTTGTGTACTCTCACTAGGATAGACTGATGTGTAGCCTCACTAGGATAGAATGGTATGTAGTCTCACTAGGATAGACTGGGGTTGTGTAGTCTCACTAGGATAGACTGGTGTGTAGTCTCACTAGGATAGACTGGTGTGTAGTCTCACTAGGATAGCCTGGGGTTGTGTAGTCTCACTAGGATAGCCTGGGGTTGTGTAGTCTCACAGGATAGACTGGGGTTGTGTAGTCTCACTAGGATAGACTGGTTTGTAGTCTCACTAGGATAGACTAGGGTTGTGTACTCTCACTAGGATAGCCTGAGGTTGTGTAGTCTCACTAGGATAGACTGAGGTTGTGTAGTCTCACTAGGATAGACTGGGGTTGTGTAGTCTCACTAGGATAGCCTGGGGTTGTGTAGTCTCACTAGGATAGACTGGGGTTGTGTAGTCTCACTAGGATAGACTGGGGTTGTGTAGTCTCACTAGGATAGATTGGGGTTGTGTAGTCTCACTAGGATAGACTGGGGTTGTGTAGTCTCACTAGGATAGACCGGGGTTGTGTAGTCTCACTAGGATAGACTGGGGTTGTGTAGTCTCACTAGGATAGACTAGGGTTGTGTAGTCTCACTAGGATAGACTGGGGTTGTGTAGTCTCACTAGGATAGACTTGGGTTGTGTAGTCTCACTAGGATAGACTGGGGTTGTGTAGTCTCACTAGGATAGACTGGGGTTGTGTAGTCTCACTAGGATAGACTGGGGTTGTGTAGTCTCACTAGGATAGATTGGGGTTGTGTAGTCTCACTAGGATAGACTGGGGTTGTGTAGTCTCACTAGGATAGACCGGGGTTGTGTAGTCTCACTAGGATAGACTGGGGTTGTGTAGTCTCACTAGGATAGACTGGGGTTGTGTAGTCTCACTAGGATAGACTTGGGTTGTGTAGTCTCACTAGGATAGACTGGGGTTGTGTAGTCTCACTAGGATAGACTTGGGTTGTGTAGTCTCACTAGGATAGACTGGGGTTGTGTAGTCTCACTAGGATAGACTGGGGTTGTGTAGTCTCACTAGGATAGACTAGGGTTGTGTAGTCTCACTAGGATAGACTGGGGTTGTGTAGTCTCACTAGGATAGACTTGGGTTGTGTAGTCTCACTAGGATAGACTTGGGTTGTGTAGTCTCACTAGGATAGACTGGTGTGTAGTCTCACTAGGATAGACTTGGTTTGTGTAGTCTCACTAGGATAGACTGGGGTTGTGTAGTCTCATAGTATAAACTGGGGTTGTGTAGTCTCACTATGATAGACTGGGGTTGTGTAGTCTCACTAGGATAGACTTGGGTTGTGTAGTCTCACTAGGATAGACTGGGGTTGTGTAGTCTCACTAGGATAGACTTGGGTTGTGTAGTCTCACTAGGATAGACTGGGGTTGTGTAGTCTCACTAGGATAGACTTGGGTTGTGTAGTCTCACTAGGATAGACTTGGGTTGTGTAGTCTCACTAGGATAGACTGGGGTTGTGTAGTCTCACTAGGATAGACTGGGGTTGTGTAGTCTTGTAGTCTCACTAGAATAGACTGGGGTTGTGTAGTCTCACTAGGATAGACTGGGGTTGTGTAGTCTTGTAGTCTCACTAGAATAGACTGGGGTTGTGTAGTCTTTGTAGTCTCACTAGGATAGACTGGGGTTGTGTAGTCTCACTAGGATAGACTGGGGTTGTGTAGTCTCACTAGGATAGACTTGGGTTGTGTAGTCTCACTAGGATAGACTGGTGTGTAGTCTCACTAGGATAGACTGGGGTTGTGTAGTCTCACTAGGATAGACTGGGGTTGTTTAGTCTCACTAGGATACACTGGTATGTACTCACTAGTAACCGCTCAAACGTTAGACTCGAGTGCTTCTGTTGCAGTTTCGTGACGTAAAAAAACAATCACTTGCATAAACATTTAACGGATGCGGCATACTTCAAAAATCAAGACTTCAATTCTTAATCAGAGGGGAGGAGATACATACATTGTAAAAGGTCAAATGACATCAGTTTCTATTAGGCATCTCGACATTATGGGGGAGGTGCGAATCTCGCCCTCCCCCCCCCCCCTCCCCCACCCCACCCCCGACACTTTTACGTGTGAAATAGAAAAAAATGCCATTTACATAGAAAATAAATATTTTAACAATTGTACACTACCCCCACCCCTTCCTTGAAATTTACCTCCCACACCCTGAAAGTTTCAAATGTCGCCCCCACCACCCCGTAAAAATGTCTGAAAGAAACCCTGAATCTCCCCAGCGGGTCGGGTATGTAAGACATTTTACCTTAGATGCTGTCCTGGCGAGCTATCGCATCTACTTTGACAGGTTCGACTACAAAAATGGGCGCGACATTTCTGGTTTCCTTGACAACCAGACCAACCGCTGCAAGGAGGAGGGGCTGAAGGAGGTCGCCATTGATTGTGAGACTGGCGGGAGCTACGCCCTGACCCAGAAGTGGGTCCACGACTTCTGCGTCGTTGATGATGACCCATGTCAACTCGAACAGTATATCGGCAGGTAGGGCGGCTTCGTCCCGCGTGTATCATGGTTCGTTATGTGTGTATCATGTTTCGTCCTAAATGTATCATGGTTCGTTATGTGTGTATCATGGTTCGTCCTAAATGTATCAGGGTTCGTCCTGTGTGTATCATGGTTCGACCTATATATTGCTTGGTTCGTCCTGTGTAGCATGGTTCGTCGTGTGTGTATCATGGTTCGTCCTGTGTGTATCATGATTCGTCTTGTGTGTATCATGGTTAGTCCTGTGTGTATCGTGGTTCTTCCTGTGTGTATCATGGTTCGTCTTGTGTGTATCATGGTTCGTCCTGTGTGTATCATGGTTAGTCCTGTGTGTATCGTGGTTCTTCCTGTGTGTATCATGGTTCGTCTTGTGTATATCATGGTTAGTCCTGTGTGTATCGTGGTTCTTCCTGTGTGTATCATGGTTCGTCTTGTGTGTATCATGGTTCGTCTTGTGTGTATCATGGTTCGTCTTGTGTGTATCATGGTTCGTCTTGTGTGTATCATGGTTCGTCTTGTGTGTATCATGGTTCGTCTTGTGTGTATCATGGTTCGTCTTGTGTGTATCCTGGTTCGTCCTGTGTGTATCCTGGTTCGTCTTGTGTGTATCATGGTTCGTCCTATGTATTGCATGGTTCGTCCTGTGTTTATCATGGTTCGTCTTGTGTGTATCATGGTTCGTCCTATGTATTGCATGGTTCGTCCTGTGTTTATCATGGTTCGCCTTGTATATCATGGTTCGTCCTGTGTGTATCATAGACCATTGTTTATCTTTTGCTCAGTTTAGTGCGATTAATTTGTATCACTCCCAACAGGCTACATTAGTCCAACAGAGTCCTCAAAAAAACTCAGGCCATTCTCGAATTTTTCACTTTTAGATTTAACTATCCTAACCATAGCAATACCAAAGTCCCTAACACTAGCAGTGAAACTAAACTCCTTTACACCGATTCTGACGGGGGGCAAAACAACTGATACCAATACCCTGATGTTTTTCTGAGATCCTTTTTATTTTAAATGTGTACATATTCCTAAAATGTGCACATAATTTGTCCACGTCTACCCCACCAGAGAACTGAACAGCGGAGCGGAGCTGGAAAACAAATCGCCATCAAGTCACGTGGCTAGGATGAATGGCAGCACAGAGAAGGGGGCAACCCCGACCTACGAGATTGTGCGCCAGTCCCAGAGCTACGGCAAATTTGCTAAGAAAGCTGGTAAGTCGCAGACATTATTTCACAGCCTTTTGCGATAGGGGTGCGTCCGGTGGAGTATCAACCATGTAACTAAGGTGTTACGTGGGTCGTCCATTGTGTTATATGGTTCGTCATTGTAGTACATGGTTCGACCATTGTTACATAATTCGTCCTTTGTGTTATATGGTTCGTCCGTTGATACATTGTTCGTCTATTGTGTTAAAGGGTTTTACAGTGTTTTATATGGTTCGTCCATTGTGTTACATGGTTCGTCCGTCCATTGTTATATTGTTCGTCCATTTTATTACATGGTTCGTCCATTGTGTTACGTCATTCGTCCATTTTGTTATATGGTTCGTCCATTTTTTTACATGGTTCATCCATTGTGTTACGTGATTCGTCCATTTTGTTACGTGGTTCGTCCATTGTGTTACGTGGTTCGTCCATTGTGTTACGTGGTTCGTCCATTGTGTTTCGTCCATTATTACATGGTTCATCCATTGTGTAACATGGTTCATCCTTAATTACATGGTTCATCCATTGTGTTACATGGTTCATCCATTGTGTTACGTGGTTCGTCCATTGTGTTACATGGTTCGTCCATTGTGTTACATGGTTCGTCCATTGTGTTACATGGTTCATCCATTGTGTTACATGGTTCGTCCTTTATTACATGGTTCGTCCATTGTGTTTCGTCCATTATTACATGGTTCGTCCATTGTGTAACATGGTTCATCCTTAATTACATGGTTCATCCATTGTGTTACATGGTTCATCCATTGTGTTACGTGGTTCGTCCATTGTGTTACATGGTTCGTCCATTGTGTTACATGGTTCGTCCATTGTGTTACATGGTTCGTCCATTGTGTTACATGGTTCATCCATTGTGTTACATGGTTCGTCCATTGTGTTACATGGTTCGTCCATTGTTACATGGTTCGTCCATTATTACATGGTTTGTCCATTGTGTTACATGGTTCGTCCATTGTCTTACATGGTTCGTCCATTGTGTTACATGGTTCGTCCATTGTGTTACATGGTTCGTCCTTTATTACATAGTTCGTCCATTGTGTTACATGGTTCGTCCATTGTGTTACATGGTTCGTCCATTATTACATGGTTCATCCATTGTGTTACATGGTTCGTCCTTTATTACATGGTTCGTCCATTGTGAACATGTGACTGTCGTGTAAAACACACGTCTATTTTTAGCTAAACGATAAACCATCACAAATTATTCAACATTACTTAGTTGACTTTCAATCTTTCAAAGCTAACTATCACAAAAACGTTTTTCAAGTTCAGAATTGCAAGTCTACTTAACCTAAAACATTTTGTCAGTCAACCTTTACAAGTTAACAATAATAATTACATTTAAACGTCGACTTTTTACTTTCTCGTATATACGTAGTATAGAGAAAGTATTGTAATCGTGCAAAAAAAAAAAATCGAGATTTTTACAAATCTCGACGTTTTACACCTCACTGATACGGAAAAACATAATTTTGCAATCTTGTCCGTATGTCTGTGTGTGTGTGTGTCTGTCTGTCTGTCTGTCTGTCTGTCCGTGTGTAAACACGATAACTTGAGTACCGTTACAGCTAGGTTGATGAAATTTCATATATAAGTATTTTATCAAAATCGTAGATCCGTATCAACTTTTGAGCGATTTCCGATAACCGGAAGTGGTACTTTTCCTACTTTGAATTTTTTAAAAGCCTATAACTTGAGTACTATTTCAGATAGATAAATGAAATTTCACATGTAAGTAAAAGATCTAATTCTCTACCTTCTGTTAAATTTTGAGTAATTTCCGTTGACTGGAAGTAGTAATTTACGCTACTTCCGATTTCTCAAAAAACTAATGTAAATTTTAAAAGTACTAATAATATTGCGCACCATTATGAACATCTTTATTCCGCGTTCACTTGGTGTGCAATACTTTTTTCTATGATATTCTATTTTATTTTAAAAAGTTTATGTATTTAAAATGGATTAAAAATCATAACTATATCCCGAGTTCCCATCCTCTGTTGTTTTATATAAGAATATTCGAGAAAGTTTAGGGGAGATCACTCCCGGTTTATTTACTATCAAAATTAGTTTTTCAAAAATAAGGCAAATTAAATAACTCATCAACTTTTCCTTGTATAAAATCATTCAACTTTTTCAAGTTAACTAACATTTGTCAACTGTTCCTAGTTAACTTTCATTTCATATGTCAAATTTTACGAGTTAACTCTCATATTTAATCTATCAACATTTCCAAGTTTATTATCACATTTATTTAAGTCAACTTATTATAGTTAAATACTGTATGAAATCAGCTAACTTTTACAAGATCACCGTCCCATGGTTGTGATGATCCACCATCCCATGACTTTGATCCATCATCCCATGACTTTAATGATCCACCATCCCATGACTTTGATGATCCACCATCACATGACTTTAATGATCCACCATCTCATGACTTTCATGATCCACCATCCCATGACTAATCTACCATTCCATGACTTTTTCCACCATCCCATGACTTTAATGATCCACCGTCTTATGACTTTAATCCCTCATCCCATGACTTTGATCCACCATCCCATGACTAATCCACCATCCCATGACTAAAATGATCCACCATCCCATGACTTAAATACACCACCCAATTACTTATCCACCATCACATGAATTAGATCCACCATCCCATGACTTAAATGATCCACCATTCCATGACTTTGATACACCATCCAATTACTTATCCACCATCCAATTACTTATCCACCATCCCATGAATTAGATCCACCATCCCATGACTAATCCACCATCCCATGACTTTGATACACCATCCAATTACTTATCCACCATCCCATGACTTTAATGATCCACCATCCCATGACTTTAATGATCCACCATCCCATGACTAATCCACCTTCCTATGACTTTGCTCCATCAGGCATGTTTTTCATCGCTTTCGCCGCTGACCCGTGCACGTTTGATTGTTTACTGGACCGTATGGTGGGCGCGGCCTGTGATGGTGAACACGATGACGTCCTAAAGATCAGCAAGAACGTCAAGGGAAACTACTGGTATTTCCCTGGGATGAAAGAGCTCGAGGCACTCAAGGGCTCAGGGGAGTGAATCCACTTGATGCTGCAAGCGACATGAAAAAAATAGTTCATTTTTATTTTTATATTTATTGATACATTACATTATGATAGGGATTTATTTTGTCCACACTAAAACAAGAACATAGTTTTAGGAAAATGATTTTAGGTTTTAAGACGACAGACAATAATTAGGGGCAGAAAAATCTTATGTGTGATTGATAAATGAAGAATTTCTGGTTGGAGTTAAAGATGTCCGCGAACTATTTGCTTTTTAACAAACTTCTTGGTTGAGAATTTGGTGAATTCCCGATGTTTGTTGATTTATATATAACACCTAGGTGATTCCCCTTTTACGTGTCATTATAAATACTATATCGTTGGCGTGGGTTTCTGATTCAATGAATATCGACAGTGTATAGGGTAACTTATTTTAAGGGCGTACTGCATATGATAGACATAGAACCACAGATAAATTAATCGATTTTTACGATAAACATAACCGTTTAGTCTTATATTTGAAAACAATATTTTTGACCAACTATTTATTTTAATTTTCCTTATCATTCAAGTATTGTATTAAAATATTTTTAAAAAAAAGATTAGAATCTTCTTTGTTTAATTGTTTGTGATGTTGACTTTGTCATTCGTCTTTTGGTTCTTCTTGGTAAAGACTGTCACAATAGTAACTCTGGTGCTCACCTTCTTGATATGGTGATGCCTGTATATGGTGTTCTCAGTACGTCACAACTGAATGCTCTAATGAGTGCTGATAGAGGCATGTTTTCAGACACATATAGCAGCTTAAGTGTTACTCGCTGTAATGTATTTACTCTTGACTTCGTGGCCTCTGGGATTTATAGATTGCTTATAGAAAGGTTTATGGAAGACCGTGTGAAGGTAGTTTGTAGGTTTATAGACGGCGGTGTAAAGATAGCTTTTATCTTTGTTACCTTTTAAAAAAAAACAAGAGAATAGGAAATTATTTACAAATCGTAAATTCACTTGTGCATTTGATAGCATATAGATCTATGTACTTGTTTCATTAACTTGAATTAATTACTTGTTCTCTGGTGCCATATTAGGATTCAATAGCTAAATTTGGGGAGGGGGGGGGAGAAAAAATCATCTTAAAACCTGGTGCTGCTCCCATGCCTGAAACTCTTTTTTGTCAAAAAAAAAATTGTATGTGTATATTTAAAAACGTGCTCATGTAAAATGTGTACTGTACATGGCATTAAATTAAAATCTATTTCGAACCATAAAGTGTATATGCAATACACACATGTGTAATACAAACTTAGTCAGAACACGCCCAGGTAACTTTAACAACAAACAGGGAAGTAAGTCACAAAAAGAAATGTTTTTATTTTTAGTAAACAAAACACCGCGTCATGGAAGCTGAAGCCACCCAACTGAGAATATTTTCTTTATGATCTTTGGTCACCGCAGTGCTAATTGAGTATTATATTATATGTATACGTGGGTATCGCTAATTGCTACGAATTACAGTAGACATGACCATGTCAGTACATGATGGACAGTAACAAGGGCTACTTGATTATGTTTAATTAATAATACCGTAAAACCATTAAAATTAACGCAGATGAACAGGTTCAAGAACGTATGGTAAAGCTGGTATAGTAAAACGGTTTTCAAAATGTTTGGTATCCATCTTGAGTTGATACAATAAAACGGATTGAAGATGTTTACAGTAAAACGAATAGAGTTAATACAGTAAAATGGTAGTTTAGATTTTCCGGGAAAGCGATACGAGTCGCTTCAACAGTTCTGCTCACATTATTTAAGACAAGTGTTTCAGCCTAGGGTGTCGCCAGTCAACTGCGTCGTTTTCTCATAGCCCACCCCCCCCCCCCTTTTTTTGTTACACAAGGTCACAAGCCCCACCCCACCCACCCCTTTCTGTCAGTTTTATGTATGGATGTTTTTTATTTTACAAATAAGAAATAAATGCTACGCGACTAACAGTGTTTCTTTCAGTCATCTCTTTGTGACACCCCCCCCCCCCTGGAAACACGTCTATTCCCCCCCCCCCCCTAGCGAAATAGAATTTATATAGCAAATATGGACTTTTACCAGACCCTCTACCGGAAACTATATTGTGACCCCTCCCCCATCCCCAAATGTTTCAAGTGCCCCCCCCCCCCGAAAAAAGTCTGCAAGAAACACAGCAAACTATCTTAGCCCAATCAAGATAATTAAATCCAACCCACCCCCACTGTCCCCAACACCACAACACCCTCGAGCATATGACCTTGTACTACAGTAAAACACAAACGGCCAAGGTTAAATTCAAGTGACTTTTTCGTTGCAATTTTTATTTATTTAATAATTTAATATTAATAACCTGTTGATGATAAAAATAGAATGGGAAAATGCGCATTGCATCATGTTTCTTTGGGTTGGCAAACTATATCACGTGGTATGACTATATATAGAAACACACTCATGTTTTCGGTCCCGCAGTTTTCTACACGGGGCGGGTTTGGACTGGGTGGTGCGTTGTTGTCTTATTCAAATTTTGAACTGAGCTCTTGACGACACCCCCTTTCCCTGTGTTCACATGAACAAACACGTGACTTTAGCGTGCTGTTTTAATTGGCTGCATGATTGTATCACATGACTAGGCCTAAAAAAACACAAGTTTCAAACAATGACCGGATGTGAAGATTGTTATCTCACACTTGAAAATGGAAACCACTCGAGCGCCATGGTGGTACTTGTGATGACGCAACAACTTTCCGTCTGCAGGGTTTTTTAAGAGCTTTAAGGTCATGTTTAAAAGTTATTTTGTTAGTCTTGTAGTTCTGTTTGTGTTGTAGATAAGTGAACTACGTTTTAAAAAAAAAGTTTATTTTCAGCGGGGGTCGAAAAGTCTCGAGTTCGAATCCTCGGGCAGATGAGGCTCGTTAGCTGGCGACAGCCACTCTTCTAGGAGAGACAACTCCAAAATCAAACAACTGCTGCCTTGTAGTTTGTTCTTGGTTGGACAAAGGCTATGGAAGCAAATCCAAAATGAAAAGCAGGCTGAAATCGGAGTCAATGGCGCATAACCTATCCTTAATTGTGATGGAGGCGTGGTCGAGTCGGTTAAAGCTAATGGTTGATAAATTCGAAAAAGTCTCGAGTTCAAACCCTCTGGCAGATAAGGCTCGATCCCCCCCCCCCCCCCAACACTAAAAATTAAGCACGAAGAAGAAGAAGAAAGAAGCGTAGGGCAGACGAAGTAGAGTTAATCTGTTTCTCTGACCTCTGCATGTGTGAGGATTGTGTGGCCAGCACAAAGCTCAAGAGCACATGAGTCGTGTCCCCTTTTGTATCTGGTAGGACTGAAGGATTTCTCACGGACTCGATGGGCCTAACTGGAGACATCGCCTTCCATTCCCCCCAGTGGCGTAGCGAGGTCGGGTGTCACCCGGTGCGGCACTTAATGGTGTCACCCCCCAGAGGCGTAGCGATCCTTCCCGGGGACAAACTTTCAAATTTTCGATTTGCACCCCCCTCCCTCAGACTTTCGATTTGCACCCCCCCCCCCCTCAAGTTTTCGATTTGCACCCCCCTCAAGTTTTCGATTTGCACCCCCCCCCCCCCCTCAAACTTTCGATTTGCACCCCCCCTTAAGTTTTCGATTTGCGCCCCCCCCCCCCCTCAAACTTTCGATTTGCACCCCCCCCTCAAGTTTTTCTCTATATATTTTGCTATTTTTTGCCTTGGTGTCACCCCCCTAAATGGTGTCACCCGGTGCGGTCCGCACCCCCGCCCCCCCCTCCTCGCTACGCCTCTGCATCCCCCCCTTTTTTTTTTACTCGTCCCCCCCCCCCTTTCCTTGTTTCCCCTCCAGCATTTTCTGGTTTAACTGGAAACAACAAGAGGTGTAAAACAAAACAAAGGTGATGTAGAGTCAAAGTACATGCGTCACAGGTAAAGGGTTAACACATACACTGGTCACATATTCATGGTTTACAGACATATGGGTCAAGATATAAGGCCAACATATAGAAGAGTCAAAGATATACGGCTAACATATAGAAGAGTCAAAGATATACGGCTAACATATAGAAGAGTCAAAGATATAAGGCTAACATATAGAAGAGTCAAAGATATACGGCTAACATATAGAAGAGTCAAAGATATAAGGCTAACATATAGAAGAGTCAAAGATATAAGGCTAACATATAGAAGAGTCAAAGATATAAGGCTAACATATAGAAGAGTCAAAGATATACGTCTAACATATAGAAGAGTCAAAGATATAAGGCTAACATATAGAAGAGTCAAAGATATACGGCTAACATATAGAAGAGTCAAAGATATAAGGCTAACATATAGGAGAGTCAAAGATATAAGGCTAACATATAGAAGAGTCAAAGATATAAGGCTAACATATAGGCCTACATGGGTTTTATGCTACGTTTTATTTATCATTTTATTTCCTTGTGATATTTCCCCTCATCAGTGGCGTAGCGAGGTCGGGTGTCACCCGGTGCGGCACTTAATGGTGTCACCCCTTCCCCCCCCCCCCCCCCCCCGAAGCGTAGCGACCCTTCCCGGGGACAAACTTTCAATTTTCGATTTGCACCCCCCAACCCCCTCAAACTTTCGTTTTGCACCTCTTAAAAGACTATTTAACACTCGAATTAATCACTTAATTAAGTGGAATTATTATTTTTCTCTTTATAATATATATGCTATTTTTTGCCTTGGTGTCACCCCCCCCCCTAAATGGTGTCACCCGGTGCGGTCCGCACCCCCCCCCCCCTCTCGCTACGCCTCTGCCCTCATATTCAATTGGGGCTGCACATATAAATGACCCGTGGATATTATTAGAGCAAATGTAAACAAACTTTTTCCATGTCAGTATGTCACATGGAACGCGCATAAGGTCCGGAATTCCAAGGAACAAAATCTCAGATGTCAACGAACTTACGTAAGGCTGGCGTACAACTCATGTTCCGGGAATATCCGATATTACCTAAAAAATACAGGGGCTTCCCCTAAAATCACCCGAAAAAAATTTTGTGGCTTTATTTTTAGGATGCCTGTGGGGGGGGGGGGGGGGGGGAGGGAGGAGGGGAGAGAAGAGGATAAAATATTAATTATTAAAAGTGGATAACATTCTTTCCAAGAGGTTAATAGAAACTAAGACAAGTATACAGAGGCGTATCCAGGTTTTCGGTGTAGGGGGAGCGGAAATAGCAAAAAAAGGCGCCGAATTTGTAATATCTTCTATATAAGTATATATATATATATATATATATATATATATATATATATATATATATATATATATATATATATATATATATATACATACATACATATATATATATATATACATACATACATACATATATATATATATATACATACATATATATATATATATATATATATATATATATATATATATATATATATATATATATATATATATATACTTATATATATATATATTAGCTGTATGATTTTTCTTCGATATGATGTAAAATAAAATTAAATTAGCACTCTGAAGAAATACATATTTTATTATAAATATCAAAAAAAAATCAATAACTACTTTAGAATCTAATAAAGTAGTTTAACACTATTTGATTTTACAAAAATATTTTATCTACAATCAGAATAAAATATATTGTCATCATAAATGCTAAACTTTTACAGCATAATGAAAGTTTTTTAAATCAGATTTGGTATAAAACCCAGCTTTTATATATAGAAGTAAAAGATTCGGAATAATAGCCTACATATAACTAAAATATCGGTCTTACATTTCAGATCATGCACTTTTTTTAATTAACTACTGACTTTTAGTGTTCTTTAAAGATAATTTTTTGACATAATGAGAAGGTATGGGTTAGATCACTGTATTGCTCACACACCTTTTACTGGTAATTGCAAGAACAATATTCACAGTGATTTACGTTTCAAATGTGCCGACCAAAGATAATTTTTTAACAAATATCAATGTTTAAAACTTTGAGTTTAAAAAGTTTCCAAAAAGGCGCCACTTTGCTAAAAATGGCCAGAGGGGGAGCGGCTGCTCCCCCTGCTCCCCCCCCTGCGTACGCTACTGCAAGTATACTACGACAGTTAAGCTATTGAAATGTAACAAAAATACAACCTACAAATGCAAAGCCTACAGATTGTAAACTCGGCCCTACAAATAAACATAAACATGACTATTTGTAAGCCAAACGATATGATAAAACGTAATTAAAAGCAGAGCGTGTCCAAGCTTGCTCTGGGTCTCAAGATTTGCTACATGTCAAGGACATGCTAGCTTTGGTAAATATATTTACGGTTTTTTTTTTTTTTTTTTTTTTTTTTTTTTTTTTTGTTGGGAGAGGGGAGATATAGTCAATTGCTATCTCAATTAAGGAACTAGAATGTCAAGGTTCGGAATCACGTGCTACACACATGACCTGCCAGAGTTTTTTTAGGAAACCTTTATAGTGATTACGTGGACTAAATTTGTGACTTTCCCGATTACTATTTTTAACTTCTGTGTTTACGTCGTATGAGCCAGACATCCCCGACCAATGGGAGGCGTTGTAAGAAAGTTATGTTTTGAGTATTTTTATTTACACCGTTCAGTCATAAACTCAGAGTGAAATATGTAGTTAGAGTGAGAAGGTCGTTAACAAAATTGTCAACATAGATCTGTTCTGTTGGAGACTCGTAGTGAGTGAATTACTCGCAACTTTGTTTATTATTTGTGTTTATCAATTGTTTATTTATATCGGGTTAGCGCAGTCACCATAATTATATAAATAATAAGCCAAGTTTAACTGTGTCTAAATGTGGTCTCCTAAACTCGTAGCTTATTTCATCAAATCATCTTCGAACTTCGACCTGTAAGGTTATAAGGTCATGTCATTAGTACCTTCTGATTGGCATTTCCTCCGTTCTTTTACAAATTGAGACCCCGCTGGTTTTATAGTCTGTATTATAAAAATCGGAAATTCTTTAATACTTTTTTTTAAGTATTAGTTTCAGAAAAGAAACTTATAATAGTAAAGCAATTACTGCATTGAAACTCAGCAAAAGTTTAGTGTAGTAAGATACACGCAATAATCTCCTACTGTGGCATCTAATACGCAACATTTGGCTGACTGTGCTATCCCTTTTCTAGCCCCGTGTGTTTATAGTAATGAATCGTTACCCTTTTTAAAATGTTTTAACACCGAATAAAATGAACACAGCCCTACGTCACTAGGATTGTTTTTGTGTTTCGTGTTATTTAGTCTAAAACATTCATCACATGTTTCCCGTGTTCCGTTTAATACGTGAAAGTTATTTATTTATTTATTCATCAAACAGAATTAGCTGCGCTCATTAATACTTTGCGAAAGTAAAACAGCGTGAAAAGAGATAAACAAACTATATCTGACAGTTCGATCAAAATTCACATTCTGCTCTATAGATGGATACCAGAAAACCCGACTGAGCTATTGATAAGTAAAGAATTTAAAAAATAAACTACATATTGTGTGTAAAGCCTACATGAAAAAAAATACTTTGACTGTTGGCAAACCCTGGAATTCTCAAATCATGGAGGAAGACTTATTCCAGTTTGTAAGTACTCACCTTTGGCAATTATTTTTTTGTCAATTTTTAATCCACAATGATAAGGCTATAATTGCCGTGGTTTTATGGATAGCGTACATCTATAAATGTATTAATGAGTGTATGTGGGTCTGTATGTTTCTCTATGTGCTTTTCTTTTATGTATTATTACACCATTCACCCGCTCGCCATGAAACTTTGGGAAGTTGTTAAGTACACCCAAGCTAAGATTTCTGCCCAAAAAATGGATATTGGTTGTATGACCTTCATAAGCATTATGGGGCCTTCATTCATTTTTTTTTTAAAGCGCCCTAATCAATGCATACGGTGGGCTACGAAATTTGATGACTTAATAGCACCAGGGGCGGCGCCTCTTGTAGGCGCCACATGACGCCACTGGGGTCGGCTAAGGGTGTCCTTCATCAAGAGTCGAGATTTTCATACAGCACGCCATGAGGCATCTGGGCAGTAGTGTAGACAAACCCTGACCCCTATAACTAAGGTCTAGCATTAGTAACAAATGGAGTGCCGACATTGTTTACATTGAAATAACTCGAGTTCTACTCAACCGAAACTGTACATTTGGTTTCTCGGAAAAGCTGGGCTGGTAGTTGAAAGGCCTTTCTAACACAATTGAGGTTTAACGCCGGTCTTAGTAAATAAAATGACATTGTTAACCTTATCCACAGCCATCAAAATTAGTGGTTCTTAACTTGGGTTTGATCGAACGCCAAGGGGTTCGGTGAATTAGTCTCAGGGGTTCGGCGGAGGTCAAGACACACCAGAGGAGTAGCGAGGGGGGGGGGGGGCGGAACACATGTCCACGGGCGCCGACCAGAGGCGTAGCGAAGGGGGGCAGGGGGGTACATATGTCCCCGGGCACCGACCTTAGAGGGCGCCAAAATTTGTTCAAAAACAAATTAAAATCTCATTTTAGGTGCAGTTTTGCATTATAAATATAAAATATATATGGGGTGGGGGTGCAAATGGAAAGTGAGGGCCAGAGGGGGGGGGTGGTGACAATGGAAAGTTTAAGGGGGGGGGGTGCAAATTGAAAATTGAAGGTTTGTTCCCGAGGGGGGGGTGCCAAATTGAAAGTTTGTCCCCGGGCGCCGGGAAGGGTCGCTACGCCTCTGGCGCCGACCTTAGGATGTGCCAAAATGGGTTGGAAAAATAAATTGAAAGGTTGAGGGGGGGGGGGGTGCAAATCGAAAGTTTGAGGGGGGGTCCAAATCGAAATCTTGAGGTGGGTGGGGGGCTGCAACTCGAAAGTTTGTCCCCGGGCGCCGGGAAGGGTCTCTACGCCTCTGAGACACACACATGACTTAAGGATTCACGATCGGATTTTGTCAGTGCGGACGATAGAACTATTTAGAAGGGTTCGGTGAATGCGCATGTGAAACTGGTGGGGTTCGGTACCTCCAAAGAGGTTAAGAACCACTACTCTAAATCTTTCGAATACTGAGTTTTTTAATTGCCATGTAGTGCGTTAACATGTCTATTTTTATTTTCTGATGCAATGAGCATCCTTTATTGCATGAACCACTTCACAGCTCGATGAAGCCAGAATATCGAGGTCACGCGTCTAAAAATACACCATTGACAACAATATGTTATCATAGCGAGCAATAAAAAGTCAGGGGAGGGGTGGCCCCTGCTGTAGAAAGTCTACCCCCTTCCTCCGAACGAAATAGAAAAAAAAACATTTCATAAAGAAAATATATTTTAATCAATGTCTGCACTCATCTCCCCCCTCCCCCCGGGACAACTACTCCCCCCGGAGGAAAAAATGTCTGAAAGAAACACTGCAGGCAATGTGTACTGTAGATCCCAATATAGCCAGCTGCGCTTCTAAGATTTTCATTTTGGATTTCTTTGATTGTTGATCGATAAAGCGCTCTTGATTGAATTCGTAATGGGTTTTTTATCAAACCCAAAATCAAATTCAACACCTCTTGATCGTGACAAAGTCTCCTTTTATAATTGATGTTTTTAATAAATAACATTAGTGACTGCAATTATATTTTGTATAATGCCTGTCGTGGAAAATTTTATTTTTAGTTGGCAAAGAAATTCGTTACTACAATTCGACTTGAACTATTGTAGTGTGGGCTTATTTGGTGGACTTGTGAGGAAATTATGTGGATTTTATTGTTTGACTTCATTGTAGGTCTAAGTATTTGTTCTATATTTTAGGCCTATTGTAAACTATTGCGTAGGCCTTTATTCTTTGTCAATATTGTATACCTATATTGAAAATCTATGCTATGGTTACTGATGATAAGCCTAAACTGTTGGCCTACGTGTAAGCTTTTAATCGGTGTGTAGGTAATCATAGGCAGGGCAATATTATATCCATCTAAGTTTGTGTGTGGTATAGTGTGTGTGTGCTTGTATCAATGTGTGTGTGCTTGTATCAATGTGTGTGTGCTTGTATCAATGTGTGTGTGCTTGTATCAATGTGTGTGTGCTTGTATCAATGTGTGTGTGTTTGTATCAATGTGTGTGTGCTTGTATCAATGTGTGTGTGTTTGTATCAATATGTGTGTGTGCTTGTATCAATGTGTGTGTGTTTGTATCAATATGTGTGTGTGTGCTTGTATCAATGTGTGTGTGTTTGTATCAATATGTGTGTGTGCTTGTATCAATGTGTGTGTGTTTGTATCAATATGTGTGTGTGTGCTTGTATCAATGTGTGTGTGTTTGTATCAATATGTGTGTGTGCTTGTATCAATGTGTGTGTGCTTGTATCAATATGTGTGTGTGTGCTTGTATCAATGTGTGTGTGTTTGTATCAATATGTGTGTGTGTGTGCTTGTATCAATGTGTGTGTGTTTGTATCAATATGTGTGTGTGTGCTTGTATCAATATGTGTGTGTGCTTGTATTAATGCGTGTGTGCTTGTATCAATATGTATGTGTGTGCTTGTATCAATGTGTGTGTGTGTGTTTGTATCAATGTGTGTGTGCTTGTATCAATGTGTGTGTGCTTGTATGAATGTGTATGTGTGTGTTTGTATCAATGTGTGTGTGCTTGTATCAATGTGTGTGTGCTTGTATGAATGTGTATGTGTGTGCTTGTATCAATGTGTGTGTGTTTGTATCAATATGTGTGTGTGTGTGTGCTTGTATCAATGTGTGTGTGTTTGTATCAATATGTGTGTGTGCTTGTATCAATATGTGTGTGTGCTTGTATTAATGCGTGTGTGCTTGTATGAATGTGTATGTGTGTGCTTGTATCAATGTGTGTGTGTTTGTATCAATATGTGTGTGTGTGCTTGTATCAATGTGTGTGTGTTTGTATCAATATGTGTGTGTGTGCTTGTATCAATATGTGTGTGTGCTTGTATTAATGTGTGTGTGCTTGTATCAATATGTATGTGTGTGCTTGTATCAATGTGTGTGTGTGTGTTTGTATCAATGTGTGTGTGCTTGTATCAATGTGTGTGTGCTTGTATGAATGTGTATGTGTGTGTTTGTATCAATGTGTGTGTGCTTGTATCAATGTGTGTGTGCTTGTATGAATGTGTATGTGTGTGCTTGTATCAATGTTATATTATCATAGAGGTTTAGGTCACTATCAGGGCTAGAGTTAGGCCAGTGGTAGCTGCACATTTTATGGTTTAAGTTAAGGAAAGTTAAAGTGAGTTAGTTGAAGCAGAGGTGATTATTAAAAATTGTTTGAATTATTTTGTTGTCATTGATGACGTGTTCGAGTGTATTGCTAATCTTCACCTATAAGAATAACAGATAGGCTTACAATATGTGAGCGCCTCTATTGAATTCTCTGTTTATGTTAACTAGGCACTTCCAGACTAAGGCCTAGGTTTTGTCCAAGAACTTTAAGGATACAGAAAACTAATTAATTAGTAATGGGGACCGGGTAATAATTGCTAATTACCAGGAAGTTATTAAAACCATTCAGTGATGTGCTGTCTCGTGAAGGCTATAAATAGAGTGTGTGAATCGCGACGTAACACACTCGTGTTTGTGGTAGGGAACAGCTAAGAACACATGGGAAGGAACATAGGTGGTAGGGAACACATAACAGGGAACACACATGCTAGGGAACACGTTTGGTAAGGAACTCACACGCTGGAGAACGAGTTTTGTAGGGAACGTATACGCTGGGGAACACTGAGAGAACACACATGGTAGGGAACACACATAACATGGAACACACGTGGTAGAGGACACTGGTGATAGGGAACACTCGTGGTAGGGAACACACGTGGTAGGGAACACTTATAAAGGAACACACGTGCTGGGAAGGATGTTTCATCTGGTGAACGGAAAAAAAGTCACAGGAAAAAAAAAACACAGAAAAAAAGTCACAGTTTTTGCTAGGAAAAAAGTCACAGAAAAAAAGTCACAGTGGAAAAATTTTATCGGAAAAAAAGTCACAGAAATCTTTTTAGAAATATTTGTATTAATTTGTTAAGAATTGTAAATTTTGTATGTTTATTGTTGTGGGTTGTATTTTTTGATAGCATAAATTATTTATAGACGTTAAAAGCATTATGATTTTTAACAATTGTAAGTAAAAATACTCTAAGATAATTAACACAACAATCTCAACTTTTGTTACGTATTTAGTTAAATACGCGGTAGAAAAGTTAACTATAAAAGAAATTTAGGCACATTTTGCCGTAGGCTATTCTCTGGTCGGCCTCTCCTCAGTAGGCATTGTCCGAACATATTTTGTGTTGTTGACGTTATGCGTCAATGACAGCCTTTGAACCTTGTCGGCTTTCTGTTTTGATCCTAAGTTTTGTGATGTAATGAGCGTGATAAATGTGGGCAGTAAAGGTGGTTGAACTCAACATAACTATTGTTGCCATGAGTTGAGGGCAGCAAGTCCGATGAACTTACCATTTCACGGTAATTTAATATTGGTATTTTAAAAAAAACACGATGAAAAACGTGGAGCATTCTATTGAACGCTACTAATCTTAAGTTTAAAATAATTACAATCTACATACTTCATAATAAATATTTTTAGATGAATTATAAAAATTCCTATGCGTATACAGCCTACACACATTATATTAATGTAATTAATCCTAAGTTAATTTGCACTCTCTAGATATTTAATACATAAAAGTATTAACAATATCATGCAAATATATTAATATATTTGTGACTTTTTTTCCTATGACTTTTTTTCCTGTGACTTTTTTCCTGTGACTTTTTTTCTGTGTTTTTTTTTCCTGTTTTTTTTCCTGTGACTTTTTTTCCTGTGACTTTTTTTCTGTGTTTTTTTTTCCTGTGTTTTTTTTTTCCTGTGACTTTTTTCCTACAATCGTTTCATCCACCACCAAAAATGTGTGTTACGCTGTCTTTGGTCGAAATGTTAAAAAAACAACACATCTTGTCCCGACAGTCACTTTAGCCTAGGACTGTAACCCGAAGGGTGGGGGAGGGAGGAAGTTAATGGGGTGGGGGGGGGGGGGGGGACACTTAAATGATGGATAACGGGAATTGGCGCATCCGGAATTTTTCTGTAATGACTTGTCGTCGGTATTCCAATCAATACTAATACACCTAGCATTAACGGGTCCAGGATTTTCCATTGACGTGAGTCCTAGTCGTTGATTGGTTAGTATCTACACGGCCTGGGATTAATGAATTAGCCTTTGTGGTTTGGTTTGGGGTTTTTGTTGATATTAATTTTAGCGGACGAACACAGGCAATAGATGTGTAGACTGTGTGCCGCAGATGGCGATGAATGTGATGAATAATTTTCCTGCTTGGCGTGCTTGATGTGTCTACAAGGAAAAAAAATTACGGGTAAACTTGTGTGTAAAAAATGGGATTTCCCGATATTTGAAAATGAAACGGTCAGAAAACAAAACAAGAATTCCCGATAATTTCATCACTGAATTTTACGTGTATTTTTATTTCCTTTTTATTTGAGTATTAAATTGTGTGTTCATTCATTACTTTATTGTGTAAATATTTCTTGTGTTTATTTAATCTTGCTTTCTTAATTCGTTTAATTTTAATTTGAAGATATTCACTGTTTTAATTGTTTAACTTGATTGTTTCTATTCTTGACAATGGGAAAAATCTGAAGGTTCATTGTGTTACTTATATGTTTTCTCTGTATTACTTTAGAAATATATAGATATATGTTTATTTCAAATTAGATTTAACTGATTTCCTTAAAATGTGTAAATAAAAAAATGTAATAATATAAAAAAATACAAATTTTTAATTATGTTATGGCACATTTGTCTGTTAATATTCCAAAGTTTATATCAAACATTAAATGATTACAAATTCTAGCTTTGCGAACGATGAATGGCAATATACTACGGTACGTGTGCATGTTATATGATAGTTTACAGCGGTACGGCTAATCGCTTGTATGTTTTCCCCAAACGGTTCGCTAGCTCGAGCCTCTAATCGCCCAGCAAGGCGACGATGACCCGAGAGACGGAGACATCTGCATGGACTTCTATGATCAGGCTGTAGATACAGATAGCACCGGTGTTGGTCAACCTGTTGGTGGTCAACCTGTTGACGGTCAACCTGTAGGACAACCCACGGGTGGCCGTTTCAATTCAAGGTATTCCATGTATGTATGGGTGTACACATTCATACAAACCACACACACGACACACACAACACGGCACCCACAACACACACAACATAAAACGACACACACAACACACAAAACAACACAACACAACACGACACACACAACACAACACAACACGACACAACACACACAAACACACAACACACAACACACACAACACAAAACAACACACACAAACACAACACACAACACAAAACAAAAACACAAAAAACACAACTCACATTTAACGCAACACACATACAGAAATGTTTACCACATTTATAAAGCTACATATATTTGATTCAGATTATTCACAATTGACAACTATGCTTGTATTAGATGATAGACAACATGAAATTAGCCTTATAAATGACCGTGACCTAACGAAACAGTAAATCTTGTTCACCTTTAACTGTGATGCCGTCCAGCATTTTTATTTACACAAGTTGTTAATTATAAAATCGCATTTTTGGTTGCCCCCATCACCATGACCTGCGGTTGTACGGGGTTGTGTGAGGGGGTGTGGGAGGGGGTGTGTGCGGGGATGTGGGAGGGGGTGTAGGAGGGGGTATGCTCTTCATGACCTGAAGGTGTTTGGTGACACCTTGACCTGTGCTCCGGACGACCATTTAAATTTGACCTATCTTTAACACCGTGGTGCTGTTATAATATCTTATCAACCCGTTTATTTTTTTCTGTAACCTAACGTAACTAACATGGTGCTATGTTCTTTCTACTTCTAGCATCTCAAATACTTACGACTCTGGTCTGGGCAGTGTTATCTCCCCTGTGTATACTGACGTAAGTTAACTACATTATGACGTAATTAAGTCATATTCCTTCTGTGTGGAGTATTTCTTTTTAACTCTATACTTAATACTTAAGGACAGTTTATATTTAAAAGCATCATCTATGTATTATTACAAACAGTAAAGTAAACGTATTTATTGACGTCATTTTCTTTTGGGTCACCTAGTCTCGCAGCAAGGACATTACCCCCCCCCCCCTCTCCGTTTATTACCCCAGGACTTACACCCATCCCCAACCCCGAGATATTACCCTCCTCCAAACCATTAACCCCATAGCCACTGTACCCCTGTCAATTACCCCCCTTACGCCCAAGAACCATAATCCCAAATCTAAACCATAGCTAACACCAGCGCTAGCCCTAACTCTAACCCTAGCCCCTTATCATAACCCTAACGCTATCCCTAACTTATCCTTAAGCTATCCGTATCCTATCTACCTTTAAATGACCGGGGGAAGGTGGGTAATGTTTTACTGGGGGGGGGGGGGGGGGAATTGACAAGGGTTAATGTCCCGGGGGGAGTAATTTATGGGGGGGGTAATGTCCTGTTCCCCTAAGCTCAAGTAGAAAGAATGTTTTTTTCTTCTAACGTCTTACAAATGTCTTGTGTGATGACTACGTCTTACAAATGTCTTGTGTGATGACTACGTCTTACAAATGCCTTGTGTGATGACTACGTCTTACAAATGTCTTGTGTGATGACTACGTCTTACAAATGTCTTGTGTGATGACTACGTCTTACAAATGTGTTGTGTGATGACTACGTCTCACAAATGTCTTGTGTGATGACTACGTCTTACAAATGTCTTGTGTGATGACTACGTCTTACAAATGTCTTGTGTGATGACTACGTCTTACAAATGTCTTGTGTGATGACTACGTCTTACAAATGTCTTGTGTGATCACTTTAGGAAAACCAAGTGGTTGCAGGGAGCATCACCATACAGAGTAGAAATAAAAAGACAATGCCCGCACGACTGAGTCAAGGACCGTCACCCAGTAGCGGACAAGGTAACTCCTCCATCCACTTGTGGGAGGTGTGGGGAGGGCCTGAACCCCCTTCCCTCGGGGCACGTCAAGCTCCATCCAAATAGAAAATAATATTAAATTTAAAATAGAAAATATATCTCCCCCTGGAGTTTCAAATACCCCTCCCCCGTCACCCTACCCCATATCAGTATTTTAAAAAATAACAGAGGACCTTCTTCGTGTTATATATTACGTTCACACTCCCTTTGCATGTGATAAATGGGGGGGAGGTGCGAAAAAGCGAGGGGTGAGGTATTTTTTTCTGCTATTATATGAAAATGACTGAAGCTATTTATGACCTACAGGTAATGTATTCAGCCCATCATCTCCATATCTGAAGCACGCGCCGTACGACATTTCAAAACGAGGCCGGCGCGACAGCAGGGAGTCTCAGGAGAACGGCGCCAAGGTCATCCAAGCCAACGATGCCTTAAAGCCCCAACTCTTCGCACAATCTTTCTCCCAACCCCAGCCCCTGTTTGACCTCTCTCGTTACCCTGACCTTGACCTATCGAGAAGACCCGGGCCGAAGACAGGGTACCCGTTTGTACCCAACCCCACATTTTCTCCCAGCAGCACCCACGTGGTGACGCAGCAGCATGACGTCAGAACGGCCGCAGACGAGAGCCCGAGGATGAGCAAGTGTCGTCCGGAGACCAACCACGTGCTGAAAGAGCGGCTGGGCGTGGCTGGGCGGGCGGAGGAGGAGGGGAGCCAGTGCAGCCCTGCTAAAAGTCCAAACTTCAAACCGGAAGTAAAAGCAGAGGTGAGATCCAAAACAAATATTTTAATTTGACTAAAGGAGGCTTTTAGAAGGAATTGAATCCCTAAATTGTTCTAGAATCTAAGTGGTCATAACATCTAACACAAGATGCGTTGGTGGACAGAAAGATGGGCAACGTTAACTGCCCACACTGTATTTAACTTGATCATTTATAAACGTTGGAAAAAAAATAAGTAAATGTATAATGTAGTATGATAAAGCATTTTGCAATGAAATATAAAAATAAAATATATTAGGCTAATTGTATTAATTATCAGTATCGTTTGTATTTGCGCATTTTTCTGTTTACGCATTTTTCAGTTGCGCATTCTTTTGTTTGCGCAATTTTTTCTGTTCTTTTAGAAAATTGTTAGGATTTTAAATAATAGGGAAATCCTAGCTTAAGTAACGAACCAGAAAAGCTGAATTTTTCATTAGCAGAGCGGGGATAGAGAAATGCACAGGGGTGTGTTTTGAATTTTGTTGGAGCATCGCTGTTTTGTTGTTTATTGAAGCAAGTAAAATTGTAACTTGTGTTTAGGCTAAGTAGATTCCGTGCTTTGACTTGAAAGTAAAATAATGTATGTAGATAACATTGATTCCTTGCTTTGACTTGAATGTAAAAAAAAAATTATGTAGATGTCATTGATGACTATGTTAGGTGGGTTTCTTTAAACTTTCCATATCTTTGTCTCAGCTAACAGAAGAGGAGGAGAGAAAGAGGAGACAGCAGGAGAAGAACAGAAAGTACGCTAAGGAGAGCAGGGACCGGAAGAACGAGAAGCTGAAGAAACTGGAGATGGTAAGTCTGGGGGGCTATGGCGTCTGGCAGGGGGTGGGGGCGGCATGGTTGAAGTCTGTGGGGCTATGGCGTCTGGCAGTGATTAGTGTAGACATTACACAGGGGGTTGGGGGCGGCATGGTTGAAGTCTGTGGGGCTATGGCGTCTGGCAGTGATTGGTGTAGACATTACACAAGGGGTTGGGGGCGGCATGGTTGAAGTCTGTGGGGCTATGGCGTCTGGCAGTGATTGGTGTAGACATTACACAGGGGGTTGGGGGCGGCATGGTTGAAGTCTTTGGGGCTATGGCGTCTGGCAGTGATTGGTGTAGACATTACATAGGGGGTGGGGGGCGGCATGGTTGAAGTCTGTGGGGCTATGGCGTCTGGCAGTGATTGGTGTAGACATTACACAGGGGGTTGGGGGCGGCATGGTTGAAGTCTGTGGGGCTATGGCGTCTGGCAGTGATTGGTGTAGACATTACACAGGGGGTTGGGGGCGGCATGGTTGAAGTCTGTGGGGCTATGGCGTCTGGCAGTGATTGGTGTAGACATTACACAGGGGGTTGGGGGCGGCATGGTTGAAGTCTGTGGGGCTATGGCGTCTGGCAGTGATTGGTGTAGACATTACACAGGGGGTTGGGGGCGGCATGGTTGAAGTCTGTGGGGCTATGGCGTCTGGCAGTGATTGGTGTAGACATTACACAGGGGGTTGGGGGCGGCATGGTTGAAGTCTGTGGGGCTATGGCGTCTGGCAGTGATTGGTGTAGACATTACACAGGGGGTTGGGGGCGGCATGGTCGGGTAGGATAGCGATTGGTTGCTGACTTCAGAAGTACATAATTCGGACTCCGGGTAGATAAGGCTAGTTATGTGGGGACAGCAACCAATCTAGGAGAGAACATTCCAAAGTCAAACAACTGCTGCCTTGTAGTTTGTTCTTGGATGGACAAAGGTGGCAGATGCAAATCCAGAAAGACAGAACAGGCTTAAGTATGAGTCAACGGCCCATATGGCAACATGTTGAGACGTAATACTTAATTGTGGTAGAGGAAATTCCCTATAATATACTACAATAATGAGTAGCGTGGTTTAAAAGTAGAGCGTTTGGCTGCTAGCCCGAAGGTCTTGAGTTTGAATCTCAATTCGGACCCGTGACTGTGGGACGTTGCTGAGTCCACCCAGCTCTAATGGGTACCTGACTTATGTTACGGAAACAAAAGCAGACCACACTATCACCATGTATTTCGAGGTCAATGAAACAGATGAACTCTACTTCATCAGCCCCATATATCTTGGGTTAGAACAGGAAAAGTTTATGATGTTACAATTAAGAATGAAAAAATAACTCAGGCAGAATAAGCCCTGTCAAACTATATTTTGAGTTCAGCATTCAAACCTTTTACACCACAGTCTCAGGCACTTCGGGTCTAGATTCATTCTATCTTTAATTTCCCATTTAGATCTAAACAATGTTCGTTGTGGAGTACGTCACCGTTTTTATCGCTGCGCAATATCACCTCTTTCATGGGTTCTATTTTTAGCGTTTGCTGCTGAATTAAAACATGGCCTCTATTTAGAGTTACAAACGTCATTTTTCTGCCCAGGTCCGAAAAGGGAAATAACCTAGACTTAAAACCCCAAAGTTTTGTTATTTAAATGGTGGGTTATCTCGCTTGTGAGGACAGATTTAGAGGTCGCCTAAATAGCAATTACTGTTTTTGAAACAGCGATTTCTTTCTAAAAATATCAACGGGGATCGTCAAGATAAGGTAGACTAAGCCAATGTTATTAAAATTTATAAAAAGAGTACTTTTAAAATGCGAAACAGCTGCTAAAAATGCATGGGAAGAATATTTTTTAAAAGCATGAATATGAGTAATGACGTCATACTTTTTAGAACTCCCCGCCCTGTCAACCCAGAGCCGTAGCGAGGGGGGGGGGACATATGTCCCCGGGCGAAGACCTAAGGGGGGGGGGCGCCAAAATGGGTTGGAAAAACAAATTGAAAGTTTGAGGGGGGGGGGTGTAAATCAAAAGTTAGAGTTGGAGGGTGCAAATCGAAAGTTTGTTTACTTATTGACACAAACATTTTCCATGCCACGTTTCCAGGAAAACAAACAGCTGGAGTCTGCTCTAGAGATCACACGTAAAGCGCTGAGTCTGGTCTACACGAAGCTGAAAGGTCCCGAGTCTGGCTGGCAGGAATATAAGATCGTCTGGTACCCGGGCGGGAAATATCAGGACTCTGTTGACGTCACCTGTCTTCTGCCCGGTAACTTTGTTTTTTACTTTGTCGTTTGGGTCGGGTAAATTTTTACTTTTTTTTTTTTTTACTTTGTCGTTTGGGTCGGTTTTGTTTTTTACTTTATTCTTTTTTAGTTATTCTTTTTACTGTGTTTTTTTAGAGTGATTTTTTTTTTAAAATCCGTTTTCAATTCTTCAAGGTAGTTCTCAATCTCGTAATTTAATATTCGTTTTTTTTTACTCATATTTCAAGAGTAGAGTTTTTTTATGTGTTGTTGAACAGTGTTTCTTCCAGACTTTTTTCTCCGGGAGGGAGGGGGGCATTTGAAATTTTCGGGGGGGGGGGGGCGGACACTGTTAAAACTATATATTTTCTAAATAAATTTCATTTCGTTCCGGGGGGGGGAGGCTCCCCCCCCCCCCCCAGAAGAGATGCCAGGAAGAAACTCTGTTGGCGAAGCCATTTTGTTTGTAGATTGTATTTTAGAATTCGGTTGTATTTTTTTACTTCGCATTTCGATAACCAAATATGGCATCCCTTCAAGTTTGACCTTGAATAAGTCACATGACAACCGTAATGTCCAAGTATTCGTCAAAGTCACTAGATGTATTCTATGTGTATTGGCTATTTAAGAGTCACGTGACTCCCGTACAGACTCAAGTAACTCGTTGTATTCTATCCCCAGCCGACGAGGAGCTGTTGAGGGAAATTGGCAACAGCTCAATCGGGGCTGTAGTACCCAGGGAGGTCACTCCCGCTACCGAGTCGAAAAGTCTAAAACGCAGTTACCCGCCCTTGCTGCCAGGAACCAGCTTGAACGAGCAGGACAATCTGGCCAACGTGCCGACTTTTCTAGAACAAGGTCAGGTAAGAGGGCTGGGGTCGCCAGAACAAACTCAGACAACGGCACAGGTAGCCGGACTTGGGTCTCCGGTCTGCGGGATGGAACTTTCACCAGATTCCTCCAGATCAGGAGAACCACCCCGCTATCTCCCCCAGATCAGACCATCAGAGAGTCCCAAATCCCAGGGTACCACAAGCCCCACCAGAAGAGAATCGTCTGAGGTCATACAATTCCCAGACAAGACCAACGGATCCCCGGTTAAGCAGTTTGTACCCCAGGAGCTCCCCGGCAATTTCTTACACCAATCCCAGCCTACTTTCACTTCCGGTGGGCAGCTTCCGCATAAGCCTGAGAAAGACCTGTATGATTTTGATACGTACAGTGAAAACGAGAAGTTCGAGTCCCCGTGGTCAACTAGCTGTCCGGACAACAACAACAACAGCAAGAACAGCAGCAACAGCAACCAAACAGCCGTGCCGGACACGCGAGTTGCCGACAAACAGTTACCCTTGCAGCCTCCGGTAGAGATGATTGCGGGTCCGGATTTTTTTGAAATCTGCAACCTGTCTTCAATGGATCTGGACCCTGATCTTCTTACAAAATTTTCCTGTGAGAAAGACAGCTAGCAGTATCTGACGCAGTTAAGACAGTTGGCACTAGCTCACAATCCACACAGCTAGCAGTCATCAACAGCATCCACACAACTAGCTGTCATCAACGGCATCCATACAACTAGCTGTCATCCATATTATCCACACAGCGAGCAGTCATCCATAGAAGCAAGAACACAAAAAATAACTCATTGTTTTTATTAGTTGCTTACTATTGATGTACAAGTTTTAAAAACATCTCAACTGCTTGTATATATATATATAATATAAATGTATAAATATGTGTAAATTGTAATATTTATTTATTTATGATGTAGTGAAATGTATTCGTACATTAAATGTTATTCAAAGTAGCGAGACTTATAGTGTCTCCGATCAAGCTTAATTAGATCAAGTATCGATCAATATCGATCACTTTACAAATGAAGTACCTCGAGTTTAACAAATTTTATTGCATAAAAACAGACCCTAAGTCTATAAGCAGCATCAGTGGGATCAAATCATCTATCATCAAATCATCTGTCATCAAATTATCTATCATCAACTATTTATTAAATTCAAAACTAAAAATTATTGTTTCAATTTAAACAATTTAACCCTATTAAAAAGGCGCAACGTGCAAATTTAGCACAAAGCTCAAAACTTTTTATTTTCAGAGGTCCCCCTTCCCACCCACTTACACACACACACACACACACACGCACGCACACGCACACGCACACACATACACATACACATACACATACACATACACATACACATACACATACACATACACATACACATACACATACACATACATATACATCAACCTCCGGCTTATATGTTCTTATCTTTTCGGTGTTCATTACTTAGACATTAGCCATATTTGTATTGTTTCATGGACATTAGCCATATTTGTATTGTTTCATGGACATTAGCCATATTTGTATTGGTTCATGCAGTTCATGGATATTAGCCATATTTTTTATGTTTTCATTACCTTGAGTGTTTTCATACCTTTTAAGCCGTGTTCAGAAATCCGGTGATTTTTTTTTTCTAAAGATATGAGATTAGACCATACCGTTTTGTCTAGTATGTGTTACCTTGACCTTTGTTAAACCACTGAACCATGTCACAGTCTATGACCCGTGGTCACTAGATTACCATGACACTCGTTCGATCAATGGCTGCACAAAAATCAATCAGATCGCCAAATAACTTTCATCGCTATTAAAATTTCTAAGCGAAATTTTGCTGATCAAGAAGTTTCTTCCAAACTAATTTATTATTTTTTAAATTAAAAAAAAACAAAAACCCATTCCATCCCTAAGGGGGTGTCCGAATATGACGTCATGCATGGGGGGGGGCTACTGATTTTATGAAGAATGGGTATGTAGGGGGGCAAGATTTGATAAAATATGACGCAACATTAAGCGTTGAGGCTGCCTAATTCTTAAAAAATAAAAATAATGGAATGCCTTGATTTTCGTAAGAATAATGCCTGTTTTTAGGTTTCAGATATTGGGTAATTGGAACTTACGTCATTTCAAGTGGGGTATGGGGGGTGCTCGGCCTTTTTGTGATGACGTGGGGGGGGGGGGGTAAAATCCTTTTTTTAAAAGTGCGTGACGTCATATATGGAGACCCGTTCAATGTTGTTGTTGCCTTGTATTTCAATGTTGAAACTTGATGTAAGATCGTGGGAATAACGCTTTACACTATTCCCACCGGTTTATCGAACTTTGCTTCGTTGCTTTTCGGCAGGTTCTAATTTTTTTTAAACTTTGAGCCACCAGTATTTAGACCAATCAGATTCGGTATTTCAAGCAACCAATCCCTTACCCGGTAACAAAAAAATATTATTTTATTAATAGCTATTTATTACAGTTAGTATTTATTAATTTTTAATTTATTCAATTAAAGTCCTTTTTACCTTCTTATCTTTTTGATGGCTTTAAATGTTCATTTAAACGAAGTGTTATGTAGGTTTTTTAAGCACCTTTGTTGTATGTTAATTAAGTACCTTTATAGTGGATTAAATACCTTTGTAGTGGATTAAGTACCTTTGTAGTGGATTAAGTACATTTGTAGTGGATTAAGTACCGTTGTAGTTGATTAAATACCTTTGTAGTAGCTAATTCTTATTGCACACATTATTTAGCTTACGTTTCCTTTGAAGACCCGTTTTATTTTTGTATTTTTTTTTAACTCAAATTTTAGTGATCGAGTATTCTGTTTATTTGAAAGCATAGGTGTAGTTGCATTTATACTACTAAAAATTATTAAACTGTCCGTTTTATTTTATTTTTATTTTGATTGATAATATAATGTTATTTCAAAACTATACCTAACTGATGTGGGGAAATCGGTCGATTTTTCTGACGGGAGAGATTTGATTAAAATCGCCTTCAATGATATCAGTCAGTGTGTGGGGCAGGCTGGTCATGATGGACTTAAGCAAAGAGCAGGATAGACTGACCACGGAGGACGTCAGTGTAAGGCGCTGACTGACCACTTTGCTGGACAGACTTGGCTAAAGCAAGCCAGTGACTGACCACTTTGTACAAAAGTTACACTGTGCACCCATTTTGTTGTTTATTGTTAAAACAGTTTTGATGCCGTATTGTACTTGTTATATTTTTTTTTAAATCCTTAAATAAATTTTTTAAGTTAAATGTTACATCTTGTTCAATGTCATAATCAATACACAAAAAATATATTTATTAAAAAAAAATTGAAAAAATTGAAAAAAAAATAAAAATGAAAAAATGAAAAAAAAACACCAAAAAATCAGAAAAAATACAGAAATCCTTTACAGTACATTTGTAAGTCAAGAGGTATATAATAATATGCCACGATTGATTTTTAATATGTTTTATGTTAAATAAATTGTATTTACAATAAGAAAGATAATCCTACCTTAGAAATCGAGATAGTTATAACAAAACTATTAATTAAAATAACTATTCAAATAGGCTATAATTTTTTAAAAACAAACTAAAATGATTTTTTTAAAGGATTAATTTTTTGTAACAATTGGATATTAAGAACCACATGATATTTTAAAACTTGAAATTATTGGCGTTGCATACATTGTAAATTTTCAGTATAAACTAAAACTTTAAAATTGTCATTCATGTAACTTTTGTTTTGGTCTAGTATACAACTTCTCGCGGATATTTTTGTGTCCACCCAGCTCTAATGGGTACCTATCCCAACTTGGGGAGAGTAAAGTCGGCGGGGGAACAATGCTGACCACACAATCCCTTTATGTGCTGAGGTCACAAAAAACTCTACTTCACCTGCCCCTACCATTTTTAACGTCATTTTAAAATGTCAATTGCTCCATTTTCTCACCCTCCAAATGACATCAGTCATTTGGATTACATTCGACCTTGACATTCTGATTACCACAGCTTCTTGACACGACTTTGACTGTAATGGCACTCTTGTAGGACCACGACTGTCCTTGACTGCCATCCTTGATTTGACCTTGACTTTCTCTATACCATCCCTTTAAAAATTTGCATCAAACGGTCACGTAGTCACATAGCCTATTTTTAGTTGTTCGACCTAAAACCAAAAACTCAGTTCACACCTTTTCGCTTTGTATTCCTTCATTCTTTTTAAAAGATTATAACAAAACATTGTGTATTTGGAGAACCTAACGTTAGTCGGGGTGACTTGACTTTATTTGACTGCATGCTATGGACTTGACTGCAAGCTAGGGACTTGACTGCATGCTAAGAACTTGACTGCTTGCTAGGGACTTGACTGCTTGCTAGGGACTTGACTGCTTGCTTGGGACTTGATTGCTTGCTAGGGACTTGACTGCATGCTAAGGACTTGACTGCATGCTAGAGACTTGACTGCATGCTAGGGACTTGACTGCATGCTAAGGACTTGACTGTACGCCTGGGTAAATAGACATTGCAACCGACCATGCGTAAATTTGATTAAAACTCTGCTAAACTTTCATTATTTTTGTTTCGGTAGATTTTGAAGCCCAATTTTTAAAACCGAAATTTTTTTTTTCACCAGTTTACAAATAATTTTATCGGGACGAATAACTAAATCGGTTATGAGGGTTTATTTTTTTCACGATCTTTCGTGGCTATTCCTATGATTAAAAAGTCATTTGCAACTACTAATAAATCCCATGTTTAAAAAGTGTGTATACAATCATTTCTTTTTTTTATTTCAAACGTAGCTCTGCAATGTTAAAAAAGTTGGGGAGCTTTTTTTAAAAAATTGAGTTATATTGTTTCACATTATACTTTTTGTTTAAATGATCAAATAATTCTTTATGAAAATGTTAATACTTTTAATACAGTACACTTATATGGTGATGGTATATTTAATATGAACAACAGAAAATCTAATAGGATTTTATAGATCTTTGATGCTTTACGTTAAGCTTAGAAGGAAGCCTGAATATGTTTCTTTCTATTTTTTCCTTGTGCTTTTTGTTTTCTTTTTTTTTAAGTGGAGGGTATGGTGAGGATTTGGTTTGATTATAACAAAAAAAAAAGCTTTTTCAAAAAAAAGAAAAACAGTACGCAGTTAAAAGAACATATCTGTAACAAAATATGTTTTTTGGCACTTATTTGCCAAGTTTCTGTAGTCAGGCTTGCCAGATAAATATTTAATGAGAGCTGGAGATTTCAGACAGCAAGAGTGCCATGTAGGACAATATGGTTCTAAAAATAACTTTATGAACGTCTGCCAGACTTGCTCTAATTGGTCAGATTTTTTTGAATAAATTAAAATGTTATTAGAACCTGAATTAGCTATTTAAATCGATCTAGATCAATATTTAAAAACTTGGAGTTGCAGCTTACTTGTTGCCGAAACAAATCACCAAGAAAAAGAGAATATTGATTTACATTTATGTGTCCAAAAACGCACATTATTAGAACCTATTAATATTAGACTTGCCCAGGATTACCTTGCGTTGAAATTATCTCAGTTTTATTGCTTTGCATAATTTTTATCTGGCATAATTTGTTAAATTTATACAATGGGAGATTTTCACATCGATGGTGGCACATTATTTCGTTGTAAAAATCCAAAATTTTGTTTAACCTTTTGTTTTTATGTTTTTGCTCATGTACTATATTATATATATTTAGATTTAGATTCTGATCATATTTTCGCTATGTTGATAAACACAGGCTGACGTATGTTCTTTTTTAAATAACAACGCATATACTTTGGATACTCATTTTTACACAAACACATTTCCTTAAGCTAGATGTTTTTACATAGATATTAATGATGCATATTAGAAAGTCTACATATTGTAAGACATAGGCTACATTGGCTAAATATTTAAGCTCGTAATTAGGTCTACATATCTTGGATACATATTTTATAACATATTTCATCTACGTTTTAAAAATACATTTTGCACACAATATGGAAAGTGGGACACTATCTTTGCGATACAAAATACATCATTTTAATACCATGAAATTCTTCAAACAAACAAAAACTATTTTATCCATAATAATTTAGGAAAAATAAACTGTCGATAATAAATGTTTAAGAATACTTGAAATAAAAAAAATCTTACAACAAGCGATCTGAAAAACATCTCCCTATGTTGTTTAAAAAAAAAGTATTAGATCTAGACACATAGCCATTTCGAAAAAAAAATGTAACCACAAATTAAAAAAAAAATTGTTATTAACGAAAAACAATATCTTACAACAAACAGTATAAAATCTTGCTTACCTTACTGCTTCATTACCGTCAGCCTTTAGAACAAGCACTTAGCACATTATTATATCTTCGGTGTAAACCATCTTAGTTTTATATCAATCTACATCAGCGGTTCTCAACGTATGGTGGGCGGGGCCTCCATGGGTGGGGGCGTAATACAGGGGTACTTGAGAGTCGTTATGATATAAAGAACACGATAATTTGGGGGTACCCTTAATAGGAGAGCCTCATCAAAGAGTACGGAAGAGGAGGGGGGGGGAGTGGGAACTAAGATTTTACATTCAATACCCCGTCAGCACCCCTCCCCAGCTGGGGTCACGATATGCACAAAGTGGGAAAGCTACATAATTGGAAGGTGTTTTTTTCAATATGGTTCCAGATATTGTTTTTTTTATTTTTTATTGTTTTACAATGTGTTAGAGATTATATGCTCAAATAAAGTTGTCTGCTCAATAGAAATCATTGTGGCTAATAATAAAAGGTGGATAATTGTACTGAAAATGAACCACACATTTGTACTAATACACTGAAAAAATATATTTGTATAGTTTTACAAAAATACACGTTTTAATGAACAAAACAATTTGTATCATCTAATTTTTACTTTGGTGGATGTGAATTGAAATTTTCTGAACATGAATTTAAGCTTTGATCGAACTTTTTTTGAAAGTCAGAATCATCCACTGATGCTGTCTAATTTTTCTGTTGTTTTAATTAGTGCAGTTCTTAATTTGATTTTTTTCCTTTTTTACCTATTAACTTTTGTATATTCCGCACTTGCTTAAATCTTTACATTTATCATTGTTTGCATTATTAATTTGTACTAATAAAAAATTTTAGTTAACTATTAGTATAACTATTATTAAGATTTCCCGGAAAAGCCAAAAAACCTCGAACAAATGCAATTTTGCTCCATATCTCGGCAACCAGACCTCTTAGCGACTTGAAACATTTACCAATCGATTCTTGCCATAATTTAGACCAATATTGCCGAAGAAAGTTTTCAAAAATATCCTTTCGTTCGGTCACAAAAAATTAATTAAGAACATTTAAACTAAGCATCGTGTAGGCCTAGGATGATTTAAACTGAGCATCGTGTAGGAGTTTATATTTATAGGATGATATTTACAAAAAATTAAAAATTAAAAATTGTTATGGATAACATAAGGAAATTGCGCTTAAATTGTCACTAGACTTTTTATTAACTTGTTTACCGTTATACTCGTGATGCTGCATCCTTGGAGAAAGGCTAACTACAACCGACTTCAGGGTTCGTCCTTAGAAACGTCACAATTCTAATTGGAGGGTGGGGCTGTTCAGATGTTTGCAATGATGTGTAGGGGAGGGTACGGGGTTTGGGTTAGGATAGTGTTACGTCAGACAATTCACATTTTAAAAAAGAACTTTCTAAAGTAGAATTTTAGTTTAAAAAAACTTCGCAGTTGTTGTTTTTTTATAGATTATTTTGAAAATTGCAAGAACGTAATTAGATTCTAATCATGAACCGAAAATTGCAAGAAGGTAGATTTTAATCTTGAAACGACTCAATTCACAATTCAGATCTAGATCTAGAAATAATTTTCTAGTTTTAAAAAAAAACCGTAAAATTGTTAATTTATGGATCTCAGTTCTGTCATTTTATGAGTTCTGGCTTTGTGTAAGTGATTGACGATTGGGAAAGGTGGATGCCTTTAAAAAAGCGTGACGTAATTAATAGACGACTGAATAGCATAAGGTCATCAATTAATTTAAATATTAAAATCCACGAGTTCAAATTTTTCGACACCTGTCCTATACTATAATGTACAGCTGATCTCATTACAAGGCCGCTTGCTTGAGCAGGGGTTATCAGGTCGTGGCCTGCGGGCCGCAGGCAGCAAGTCACGTTCACGACTGCACTCCAAAACGTTCAGCTTTGAAAGATGATGTGGCGGTGGCGGAGTGTCGTAAGATCAATCTCGCGACATCAAACAAACAGAACTCTACCCGCGAGCAATACAGAAATTCCCTGATTGGATTCAGCGAGACGACTGGGGCAGCTTTGTTCTGCACTGGGTGGAAAAATCAAATCCCGGAAGCCATTTTGCATGCGTGAACTTAAAGCACAATGTCCTTGATTAACCCGCATAAAATAATATTAAACAACGTGATTGTCTTTTATGTGTGTTTTTTTTTATTATTTTTATTTTTCTCAGTCATCGTGCTAGTGTAATACAACAATAAAAACAGTTTGGTATTTTTACATGTATTTACTTTTTACAGTTCAAATTAACATTAAACAAGATAATTATAGTTGATAGCTTACAAAATAAATACAATTCTTAGCATCAATGAAAGGCTGGGAGAACTTCTGGGGGACTGTAAGCTCAGGTGTTAACCCATCTGGATTTAACTGGCACAAAAGTTCATTAATACGGTCGTATGAAAGGATTTGTTACCTTTGTTGTACAAAATGGTTGGTCATTCTCCTGTACAAAACGACTGGTCATTTTGCTATACAAAATAACTTGTCATTTTGCTGTACTAAATGACTCGTTTCTATGTTGCGCTAAGGCCCTATCTGCATGTTATACAAAATGACAAACTGTACAGAATAAATAAGTTACACATAACAAACATAATGGTACATCTAGAGGCGGAGTCGATATTGTTCTCTAAAGAAGCGCGTAACACATTACTTTACCGTCAATAATGTCACTGATTATGACCGAGTCACAGTGCGGGTCACTGCCCGCGTCACTGCCCGCGTCACTGCCCGCGTCACTGCCCGCGTCAACAGATCCCATTATGTCCCCGTGTCACGGTATAACCGTGAGGCCTTGTCAGCATATCACAACGTCGCAGCATTACTGTGTCACCAAGCTACTGTGTCACAATATCTCCGTGTTACCAAACCAACATGTCACAATATCACAATGTCACCGTGTGTCCATGCCATATTATCACAACGTGACTTTGTCACCACCCCAGCATGTTACCACGTTACTGTCACGGCACCACATCACCGTGTCACTGTGTCACACCACGCGAACATATCACCATATCACAATATCACCGTATGCCCACATGACTTTGTCGCCACACACCGTATCACCACATAATTTAGTCACCATCTCACTAGTTCACCATGTCACCAGGTGACGGTGTCACCACATCACCGTATCACCGTCTCACGGTGACCAGAGAACAGTTGGAAAAGTCCCTCCCCTTGATCAGGTCCTGCGTGTGCTGGTACAACAGATACACCTCCATCTCCGTGTGGTTCACGCTCGTCACCCGCCTCATCAAAACAAACTCACACGCGCTCGCCTTAACACTCGTCCAGTACGCGAACCCCTCGTGATGCACATGCGAGAGCTGAGCTCGCCTGGCCAGTATCCCTGTGATGTAAACATCTTCTAGATGAATCCAGTCGAACGTCTTCGCGCGAGTCTGCATAATCTTCACCGCTGCGGGTAACGGTAAGACATACCCACCCCCGAACGCGTACGTCGGGTAGGTAGGGTACGGATAATCCAAAACGCTGACCGCCCATTTGTCGTGGGGGTCCCGGATAACCAGGGAGTTGATATAAATGGCGCCCAAGATCTGGGAGGAGTTGATGATTCCTGAGTGGAGTTCTTGGACCAGGTACGCCAAGTTCACCACGGTGTCGTCGTCTACCTTCATGACGTACTGGGGGGTGGGGCGCTGGTGAAGGACGTGCGAGATGCCGGACAGGACTTTGTTGGGCAGGGATTCGTACGTGTCTTCCTCGTCCAGGGCGATGAGGTCCTGGTGGAGTTTGGTCTCGCGGTGGATGACACTGCTCCAAGATTCGTCGTAGCCGACCACGAAGAGAACGGACACGGCTAAATCTGCCGCGGACAGGCCCCAGGTTTTACGTATGGCTTGTCTTAACAGCACGTTGCAAGGCCGGGAGATGACTAGTACGGTTAAAAATGGCGGTGGGGGCGGGTCGGATGTGGATTGTACGATAGTGAAAGCATCACCGGATGTGGTAATGTTTACATTTTTCTTTAACATAAACGTCGTGAGGTTGTTATCTCGCGAGATTTGGAATTTGTAAACCTTTGGTTGTTCGGGGAGTTTGATTAACTTGACCCCCAACGCAGCGAACCTACGCCGCGCTTGAACCTGCTCCTCGTTTTCCGTCGTGTCCGGGACGTCGTACCCCCGGGCCAACCACCCGGGACTCAGCTCCTCGCTGGTACCCGGCACGACAGCCAGCGTGCTGACCAGCTCGTGCAGCTTCAAGACAAACGCCACGATGACGATCAGAACAAAGAAAGACAACGAACGGCGAAACTGTCGGCGACGCAGGGGCAGTAACCTCCACACGTGTTTGCAGCAAGTTCTGGGCCTTGGGGCGAGAAATCTGACTGGCGATGACGTCATGATTCACCATCGTTCGTCTGAGTCTCACCATCATTTCCCAGTGTCTTACTAGATTCTCTCAAGGTCTCACCAATATTTCTCAAAGTCTTACTAAGGTCTATAGACGTTTCACTCAGAACTGAGCCTTTGGTTAGTAAGAAACAGTTCCAAGTCCACGAAAACATTCTAGACTTGAGTTCCATCCCTTTAAGCTGACCTTGGACCTGTTTACAAATAAAGACATAATTAGTTTTATTTTTATTTTTTAAATTTTATTTTTCTGGCGATAAATCATAAATTATTTGAATAATTAACAAATTGAAATTACTCATTATTGGCAATTATCATGTGAGGGTTGTTTTTTTTTTTTTTAAAAGAGGGTTGACGTTATTTTATTTTAGAAATTTAACCATCAAATATAAATTACGAATCGACATAACTACATTTTAAAAATAAACCGTGTGCTGAAAATGTTTTATATAAATTTGCATGTACTTAAATCGTTTAATTATTTTTTAAAATAAATAACAAAGATCGAATAATTTAGAAATCAATACATTTTAGCAGCTAAAATCGTAATCCTAACCCCAGGCAGACAATCTAACTAGAACAGTTGTAACGTGTGACGTCGGTTGATATCACGTGTTCTTAGCCTTTACTCTACCCCGAACAATTTATTACCGACGTCATTAAATTCTTCAAAACACACAGAATTCTATTTTTATTGTGATAAACTGGGTTCCATTTTTATTCCAAGTCTGATGGGAAATTACTCTTTTATTTGGGTAATTTGGCTTGATTATGTCCCTTGATGATAATCGTTAGCCAAGTCAGGCCGGTGATTTATGACTGGAGCGGTTATTGGACTGTCGGTACAATACAGCCTAGGGTCTCTCCTGGAGCTACAGGTTCGAATCCACTCTACTCAGTCTATGGTCGTATTTTCAGTTGTGCAAATAATCAAATATTTTATTGTGAATAATTGTTTTTAAAAAATGGAATACACACGTTCAGAACGCCGTTTTAAAAAAGAAAACTCAAATTGAAAATCCAATAAGCTTGTTGTGTTTTCTTTCGTAAAACAAAATTCTTCAAGCATTAAAATTTTATATTTTAACTTGTCAATGACGTCATTTGTTTTTTTTTCCTTCTTTTTTTTTTTAATCGATCGTGTACCCAGAATTCTTGACCAGAAAAAGGTGGGGGGGGGGGGGGGGTGAGGTGAGTGTAAGAGGGGGGAGGGGCAGGAATTCAATTATCTGTAACATCCCCCTGTGTTTCTATGCATTAGTGTGGTTGTTCGGGTCGGGCAAATTTCTTTACTTCTATTTCCTTTTCTTTTTTTTTCTTTTTTACCGTCTTTTGTCTAGTACATTTTTAATGGCTGAGCTAAAATAGCTGCCCGGGGAAGGGGGTGGGGAGGGCCAGAGGATGGAGGGGACAAGTTGGACGTATGGGATCAGACAAGAACAATGACGTACTTACTGAGTACAGCTTCAAGTAATAGTTTGATGGTGATGTATACAACGTTTGGGATAAGACAAAAACACTGGCATCAAGTAATAGTTGGAGGTTGCTGCATACAACGTTTGAGATGTGAGCTGTACTGGGCTAGAACAGTGGTGTGCTTACTAGGTACAGGTTGTCCATGTAATTTATGTCGTATATTGTCTGTATAGTGAGTTGTCTACATATGTTTATCTGTGGTTCTTATATTTTGTGGCCAGAGTTTCTTCTAGGTATCTATTCCTTGTGGGGGCTCTGTTCCCCCCCCCGAAGATAGTCTACCGCACCCTCCCCCCCCCCCCACACACACACACACCCGGACGAAATTGAATTTATATAGAAAATATATACTTTTAACAGAGCCCCCCCCCCCCCCCCCGGAGAAAAAAGTCTGGAAGAAAGACTGTTTTTGGCGTATGCACTGTTTCTTTTAAGTATCGCTTCCCCGGACGAAATGGACTTTATACAGAAAATATATACTTTCACCAGTGTCCGCCCCCACCCCGGATAAATTTAGTCCGCCAGCGAGACGACTTGGGCAGCTTTGTTCTGCACTGGGTAGAAAAATCAAATCCCGGAAGCCATTTTTGCATGCGTGAACTTAAAGCACAATGTCCTTGATTAACCCGCATAAAATAATATTAATATTAATATTTTATGGTTGTTTTTTTTTTAAGTTTCAAGATCCCCTCCCCCCTCGGAGAAAAAAAGTCTGACAGAAACAATGGGTGTATGTGGTAGGTTGTCAGTTGAATATGTTTTATGAGTTAGTTATAAAGTATTACGTTTGTTTAATAAGTTGTATGTGTGTACCTGCACGTATAATATGGTACTAAGCTGCGTATGTTGCATGTGTTCTGAGTGGTGTGATGTCTACCCATTTTGCTATGTTTGTGATACCATTTAAAGTATCTTAGTGGTTTCGATGTGGGCTTTGTAAAAAAAAATTATCGTAGTGGGCTCGGTGAAAATGAAATGTGGGCTTGGTATGAATTATGGATGGGTTTTTAGTAAAAATGATAGGTGGGCTTGGAAAATGATGTATCTGAGTGCTGGCTTATGTTTTGACTTACGAGTTTTATATTGTACAAAAAAAATCAATACAAAATGGCTTCACATGAGACAGAATTATTCCCCCTCACGTAGAGTTGTGCCTAGAGTTATCTGCCCGCATGCTAGCAAACCAAACATGTTACCACGAAATCAAGGGCGACGACTCCCAGCAATCGGCTCAACAGATATTTGATTGTAAACATTGCGGCTAGCAGGAAACTGCCCCTACGGTCGCCAATATTCTGGGGGTGGGGTGTTTTTTTTTCCTATGGACAAGCAAGTTAAATATTGAAATAGGTCAATTAGTGCGGTGGGTAATTTAATGAAGTCAATTAGTACAGTCGATTGCGTCCCGTGTCGGGTATTGATTGAAACCCAACGTGACATTTTCTGAGATGGGGAGTCGAAGGAGGGAGGTTCTACATGTATACAGCTTTTGTGTTCCAGCTTACATCTCTGTACCAGCTTACATCGGTACCAGCTTACATCTGTAAAATCTTATATCTGTACAATCTTACATCTGTAAAATCTTACACCTGTAAAATATTACATCTGTACAATCTTACATTTGTACAATCTTACATTTGTACACTCTTACATTTGTACAATCTTACATCTTTACAATCTTACATCTGTACACTCTTACATCTGTACAATCTTGCATCTTTACAATCTTACATTTGTACACTCTTACATCTGTACAATCTTGCATCTGTACAATCTTACATCTGTAAAATCTAACATTTGTAAAATCTTACGACGGCACAATCTTATATCTGTACAATCTTACATAAATCTTACATATGTAGAATCTTACACTTCATGTAAACCATCCTCCACCAAACAAAACCTTCCTCCATCAAATAAAACCTCCCTCCACCAAACCAAACCCCCCCTACCCTCCCTACAAACCCCGCCCACTTCCTCCTCTGTTTGACCCAACCAATCCCGTGATGACAAGTTCCAATATTCACACATCAGTAAACTTGTCACTTCCTGTCCACACTTGACTTAACTCCAGCGTTTTATGACGTCACATCCGCTCGATATCCCGTACATACAAAGGGAATCGATATAAAGTATTTATGGGACAGATAACCCAGCGAGTTGGCCAGACTTAAGTGGGTCAAGGGGTCATCCAAGGGAGGCAATGGATGGGGAACTCTCTGTTCAGACGGCTACTTAAAATAGCAGCGCGGTGGTGTTTTAATTCCAATTAAGATGTGATTAATTAGAATTAATGGACTTTTTTGGTGAGGGTTAAATTGATTAGTAGGAAACTGAAAGTGTGGGTTAGAATGGGGGGGGGGGGGGGGGGGTTAGACAATACGGTATCTAGGGTAGGGTAGCCTTGAAGATCTAGACAATTTTGTATCTAGGTTAGAGTAGCCTTAAAGATGTAGGCAATTTTGTATCTAGAATAGGGTAGCCTTAAGGATGTAGGCAATTTTGTATCTAGGGTAGGGTAGCCTCAAATATGTAGGCAAGGTGTATATTGGGTAGGGTAGCCTTAAAGATCTAGACAATGCTGTATCTAGGGTAGGTTAGTCTTAAAGATGTAGGAAATTTTGTATCTAGGGTAGGGTAGCCTTAAAGATGTAGGCAATTTTGTATCTAGGGTAGGGTAGCCTTAAAGATGTAGGAAATTTTGTATCTAGGGTAGGGTAGCCTTAAAGATGTAGGAAATTTTGTATCTAGGGTAGGGTAGCCTTAAAGAGCTAGACAGAGGTGTCGCTAAAGTGAGGTTGGATGGATGAAATACATTGAGGCTTATTTAGACCGAGTTCATGTATGAATGTACGACAGCAACGTACTTAGTCCTTCGGTACGTAAAATATGAATAGAAATAAACTTCTGTGGGTATTTGCGTTTTTTTTTACTGAAACGTAAGTATAGGGTTAGTGAACTTGTTTCTGTTGCTATTTAACTTTTCGTGTATGATTATAGAATACTCAGTACCAAAATATTCCTCATCGAACTGCTGGTGCTTGCTGTGTTAGGTTTAAGTTTTCCCCGCTAGACTTTGGGTTAAGTTTTGAAATTTTGTCACAAAATTAGAGATAGCATAAGAAATAATTATGAGTGAAGACGAACTTTAATACAGTGTTTCTTCCAGGCATCTCTTCGAGAGGGGGGGGGGACGGAAATGGAATTTATTTAGAAAACATACACTTTTAACAGTGTCTTTCCCCCCCCCCCCACCCCCGGAAAAAAAAAGTCTGGAAGAAACACTGCTTTAATCTGGCACCACTAAACGGAAATGAACACCGGTTCACGCAGCAGCTGGTTTCTCTGTTCTAACCCAACAACAAGGGACGCGACCGTGTCCTGTCTCTAGACATCACCGGATGCCAGAATGTTCCAGAACATTCGTCCCGACACCCGAGAACCGACTAGACACGTGACCAGCCCCTGATTCGGTGGCGAAGAAGCCAGAAATGTACAGGAAGTGGGTGGAGGGG